TTTTAAATTAACTATTCAGGTTACTGGCTATTTCACTGCATACAGGAAGCCAAATGTCTGCATGATACACTTTTGTTATGTTTCAGTGCATTCCTTTTTAAATGTTTTGACTGTTTAAAAAAAACCGTAGGAGGTTAAGATGTTCATTTTAGATTTCAGTTCATTCATGTATCACCTAATAAACCTGGAGCCCAAAAAGTCTGTAGTTCTTATGTCTTTGTGCTTCTGAAAGTTGAAAAGGTAGAACTCTCAGCAATACAGCTGCTAATGGAAAAGAAAAGCTAGATTTTTTCAATTTCTTATTTCCCTTAACCATCTATTTTTAACAAGGAGAGTTTGCTGTTATCTTTGTTTCTGTTCAATTTTGTTGACGTTAGCTCAGAGATAATTTATAGAAAAAGTTATTTTAAACTTAAGTAAATCTGCATTCTACTGAGTGTCCCCACCCCCCACTTCTCCCCTATCCATTATAACATTTCCTTGTTTGTGGGCTTTACTGTTTACTTGGGTCAAACAGTATTTAACAACCTAATCTCGAAAAAAAATTGATAACATAAAGGGTCTTAGCTGAATGTTAAGCATTGTTTCTCCGGGATCTCGCAAATGCTAATTATTCCTATGTCTGGAAGGAACGAGAAGACAATAAAAAGCAGTGTCTTCTGGGGTAAGGCCAAAGCTTACTACTTGCCACCCTACCAAACATTAATGAAGACATGGTAAAAAGTTATATAATGGTATCAGACTTAAGTCACAATCTGAGACAGACCCACTGAAATCAATATACTTGCTATTACATTGTAACGTTAGTGCACTGATTTCAATAGGTGCACTCTGAGTTAGATACTGCCCTGTTTTCCATTCAAGGAATAGGGTTTTGCTTCAGAAATGCTAAGAGCTATTCCACACTTGGATGTTATATGTCTCTTGCTGTTTTGTATGTAGTACCCCCCTCTGCCTGCATACATCCACTCTATCATTGTGAAGGCTGTGTTGCTGAATAGCACCAATTTTATTATACATCCTGGCCGCCATCTGTGAGAGTGCCAGCTTTTGCAATAAAATACACTTCCAGACCACTGTCTGGAGATTAGAGTGGCTCCTAATAATACAGAAGTTGGTTATCCTAGTTATATATCTTATTTTGTGTATTGGGCAAGGGTGTATTTCTGCTTCTATTTCCATTTGTAAGGTATGCATGCATTTATTCAAAAATGTACGTTAAGAAAAGCCATAGACTATTTCTGAATAAATTTTGAACTCAGACTAAAAGGATTGTATTTTGGGAGATGGGCTTGACTTACACGGTCCATATTTTAAATTTGTAACACTAATGTGATGTGCAGTACATGTTGTATGATTTCAATACATTTTGATTTTGATTACTTATACTACTTTGTAACAGTGAAATAATGGTAATATGCTTGCAAAGCTAGATCAGGATATAAATTGTGCCTACTGCACCTTACAAGATATGTAACTCCTTCATTTTTAAATTATATTTGACTGTAGTACTGTATAGATACTACAACAAATAGTGCTCACAGAATAAGATTTTGCTATCTGATGTTTGATCTGTATGTATAATGTTGTTGTGGGTTTAGTACATGTCATTTTTCAATAGTAAACCTGACATGACTAAAAATAAAATGGTAACTTGTTTAAATATAATGCATTGTAGAGGTTTGTTTTTTTAAAAAAATTGCCTTTCATGTTCAAAAATTATGGGAGATTTGTGTATATAATAAGATGCATTTAACTCACAAGCATTTACATCTGGAACTGAAAAAGAAATCAGTCTTATTGACAACAGATGAGCTGCACTGGGGTGAGTGTCCCAATGTTGCAAAGCCACAACTGAAAAGATCCTAAGCAGAGTATGAGCCGAGAGTCAGCAAACGGAGAGGCTGAGAGGAATACTACACAAAGAATCTGCCCTTGTCCATCTGATTATTTAGTGATTTATTTACTTATATGTTGCCAATGTGTGTGGCACAAAGCACCATACTACAAACCCTACTCCCCCACCAAAGGAGCTTACCAATAGGAATTTTGGCAGATCAGGATGTACAAGAGGGTAAGGAAGGGAAAAGAAAGTTAAAAGATATATGTATGCAATGCATCTTCAAATTTGCTCAAATTACATAATGAACGATGAGCACGTGATTTAAGCGGATTTAAGAATTGAGAACCTTGAGGACACACGCACTATCCAGGGAAACAGTACCTATTTATCTACTTGCACTGGTGTGCTTTCGAACTGCTAGGTTGGCAAGAGCTGGCACAGAGCAACCGCCGACCTTCCAATTGGCAAGCCCAAGAGCAGGGGTCAGCAACCTAAGGCCCATGGGCTGGAAGCAGCCCATGGAGGTAGTTTACTGGCCCACGAGCCACCCCTGAATCGAGTTGCCTGCTCGCACACTGAGCTAAACTGGCGCAGCGTGGTGCAGGGACTTGCTTCCATAGCGCTGAACATCACATCTGCACACGCGCAGATGCAGAATGATCCGGCCCAGGCAAGATAAACCTTGCCGACCCCTGCCCAAGAGGCTCAGTGGCTTTCACCACCTTCAGCAAATACTCAATAAGAAAAGGCTTTAAAGAACATATGCTTGGGGAAATTATGTGTTTAAATGTGAATCAACTTGTGTTCTCACTTTGCAATTAAAAGCAGAATCTACAAATATGACTGTGAAAATAAAGCAAAAAAGCAAATACAGTATACCTGACTTTTACTTTTTTGAGATACTTTGTCGAGATACTGACTCTGCATAGCCACTAGGTGGCAGAATAAGCACTAGAATGTAAACGATTTCCAAACACTCCTCAGAAAAAATGGGAAGAGCTACAGTTTTGAAAATATGTTTGTTAAATTAAAAAAGAACAAATGATACTGTTAATTTTATCTTGAAGTGGGCTGTGACATTTATATTTTAAAAACGTGACACTATTTTAGAATTCTAAGGGCAATCATTCAAATACAGGGACAGCTAGGGAAAACAATCACTCAGGTCTCATGTCTAATTATTCGAATATATGTGAATACTCACAATCAAGTTAGAGTTAAGCACCAAGGAGTACATATGAATAAGGAATAAAAAAGTTGCTGATCCTATAAGAGGATGGCAGGTTGCTGCTGTTCATCTCTAGTATGAGGGTTACACTGGTGTGCAATTGAATTAAAATAATGTATCTGTCTTAATGTTATGCTGCAGTCACCTTTGACTGGACTTAACCGTCCAGGGATCCTTTACCTTACTTTTACCTGCTGCAGTGGCAATATACTGTTCGAGCAAACTTTCTTCTTCAGTGTTTGTATATTAATTAATTCCACTGAAAATTCACCCAGAGGTATTCCCAATTGCACATAGGACTGCAGCTAAGTTCTAAGACTGCAAATATGCACATTTACTTGGGAGTAAGCCTCCCTGAACTCAAGAGTAAATATTGATAGGACTAGGCAGTAAGACTTCTATGCTCAACCCGAACCAAACCTAAACACATTGACTCAAAAAGGAATATCCACCCATTACTCGTGGAGGATAAGGCTGGTAGTCACAATGGCTGTATATTACTTCTAGTACCAGAGGTAGGTAAAGGTAAAGGTACCCCTGCCCGTACGGGCCAGTCTTGCCAGACTCTAGGGTTGTGCGCTCATCTCACTCTATAGGCCGGGAGCCAGTGCTGTCCGCAGACACTTCCGGGTCACGTGGCCAGCGTGACATCGCTGCTCTGGCAAGCCAGCGCAGCACACGGAACACCGTTTACCTTCCCGCTAGTAAGCGGTCCCTATTTATCTACTTGCACCCGAAGGTGCTTTCGAACTGCTAGGTTGGCAGGCGCTGGGACCAAACGACAGGAGCGCACCCCGCCGCAGGGATTCGAACCGCTGACCTTTCGATCGGCAAGTCTTAGGTGCTGAGGCTTTAACCCACAGCGCCACCTGCGTCCCTAAGAGGCAAAGTACCAGAGGTAGTTTGCCTCTAAGTAAAGGCTGCTGGGGATTAGGAATGGCAGGAAGATGCTGTGCTCATATCCTGTTTGTAGGCTTCCCTGATACTTCTCCTTAGCTACTGCAAGAATGGAAAGCCAGGCTAGATAAGCCTATGTTCTTACCCAGCAGGGATCTTCTTATATTACTATTATATTACTGGGGACTAGATTCTTAGAATGATAACACATTTGCTTTCTACAGATTTTCTGAAGCAGCCCAAACTTGTAGCAAAAACTCTCACAATGAACGCAATACTTCACTCAAAGTCTGATCCAAAAATACTTAGAAATGAGGTCAAGCAGCTGAAGCCAGCTAAACACACGGACAAAGGATGTTACGAAATAGGTTTGGCCTTACAGCCAAGAGCTGTGCCAACTTATCCCAACACAAGGCATTTGTTTATCTCGTTGGCTGCCAGGCAAGAGAGGATAGAGGATCCCCAGAGGGTCAGGGAGCTGGGGACAGGTTGCTTCCAAGGGATCCCTGTTTGCTTCAGATAATCTGGGCGAGTCTTCAAAACATAGTCCGGCATGGTCAGCAACGCTGTACAACTGCCTGTTGCTTTCGCTGAAAACCTTTAGTCCCCTCTTCTAGAAAACTTGAAGGAGATAAAAAAAAGAGGATGTGCAAGTTGCAAGGACGCCTGGTCAAAGCTCACAGGTCAAACACGTTGCTATTCTAAGTGCACTGGTGATCCTGGGCAGCTCGGCGCCTTCTGATTCCCACCCGCAAAGGGGTATGGCAGACCGCAGGGGTTCGGGATGATAGGAAACGTCTTCCAGTGCAAGGACTTTGGCCGCCCTGCCTCTTTTCCTTATCGTACTCCTCTTTTCTCTGCTGCGGGCGGGGCGCAAGCCCAGCCCCAGAAACACAGAGCGGCGCAGCTGGGCGATACCATCTCACGTAGGGTCGTGAAGAGGCAGTGGTACGCTCCAAACCGTGCCTCTCGGCCTCTCTCGCTCTCTCAGCCCCGCCTCCGCCAGTGACGTCAGAGCTACGCAGCCGGCGCCGCGAAAGTTACGCTCGGCCTGTCACGCAGATATATGTTATATATCCGGCGTACGCGGTCGGGGAGCGAGATGGCCCTGCAGCTGCGCAGTGAGGCCCGCGGGCAGTGACAGGCGCCGCGGAGAAGGCCGCGCACCGGGCCGGGGCCATGGCAGAGACCAAGGAGGTCCCAGGTGGCGGCGGCGGCCCTGAGGAAACAGGCGGCGCCCACACTGCCGCCGCCGCCGCCGCCGCCTCGGAGTCGCTGAGCGCGGGGGAGTACTCTCGGCGGGTGCACCAGTGGCTGTGGGACTCGTACTGCGGCTACCTGAGCTGGCAGAGCGGCCTGGCCGCGCTCATGGCCGGAGCCGCCGCCTCTGCCGCCCCGCCTCCCGGCGGCTACTACTACAGCCCCTTCCACTACCTCCTCGCGACCCCTCCGGCTCCCGCCGCCAGCGGCCCTGCCCCGCCGCGCGCGGCCCCGGCTTGGCAACCGCCCGCGGGGAGGCACGCGCCCCTGACCCAACGGGCCGCCCCCGCCGCCAGCTCCCTGAGGGAACCCGGCCGGCCGGCAGGTGAGAGGAGTTTTGCGGGGAAGGGGCGCCGGGGCTGAAGGGGAGACAAGGGGGCGGGGGCGGCCTGAGGGTTGGGTTTCCATGGTGATGTTTACGGGACTAGGGGAAGGGAGGGAGAAGCGCTGTTTGGCCTGGGGTGGGGGCGAGGGGGCGAGAAGCAGCGCCTGGGAGATGGGCTGCTCATAATAAGTGAAGGGGAGAGGCTTACGGGCAGCGTTTTGGTAAATGCTGTGGCGCCCTTTGAAAGACTTCAACAAATCCGTTGTGGCAGAAGTTTTCCTTAACAGGAGATAGATACGGAACGTGGTTCTCAGTTGTTGGGCGCACACAAACACACTTGCACAAGAGAAGGAAATGCTGTCAGCCAGGGTTTGTTTGTTATTCTTTCACCTCGCCCTTCCTCCAGCTGGAGCCCAGGATGGCTAACAGCAATCTTAAAAACACAATACAGATTTCACAAAACCGTAATTTAAAATAAATAAAACAGAACGATAACAGTGTTTGGAATGTAATGCAGAAGGCAATAAACTCTGTTAAAATAGGTAAAGGGACCCCTGACCATTAGGTCCAGTCGTGGCTGACTCTGGGGTTGCGGCGCTCATCTTGCCATTTAGGTTGGCACCTGTTTTAGTCATTAAATACCTACCCCTCACCTCCGGGTGGCAACCCAGGGTGGCAGAATGTTGGCAAAATGTTTTAACTTTACACCTAGTTGTTGGCAATGTGGAGGGACAGGGACAACTGAATCTCAGTCAGGAGGAAATGCTATAATGTTGGGGGGGGCACCACCGAGAAGTCCCTGCCTTATGCCCCTACTCCTTGGTCTTTGCCTACCGGTGGCATCATGAACAAGTTCTCCCAAGCATAGGTTGGAAGGTATTATCATCACCACCACCACCATCATTTTATTTCTATGCCGCCTTTCCATTGTTAAAACAATGCTCAAGGCAGCTTACAACATGAGAAGATTTACATAATTACCAACGTAACATAACAAAAATCATAAACAATAAATAAAACACATCAAAAGGTACACAACCAAATGGAAAACAATTTCCACATAAATAAAATCTAAAACTAAAAAATACAACATTAATATCAATTACAATTTAAAATGACATAGATAAAAAATAAAAACAAATAAAAAAGGAGCCCCCTCTGTCGAGCAGCAGCAGGCCTTTATGGAGCCTGTCAGGCCCCGCCCCAAGCCAGGTGGAGAGAGGCAGGGCAGGGCCCTTCAGGCTCCCAGCAGGTCAGTCCTGGGCAGCAGCATCTGGAGAGGTGTTCTAAAAGTACTAGTGCCAGACACCAAACCCTACATATATTAAGTAAAATAGAAACGTCCCCACCCATCTTTCCCCCCCTCCACCTCTTTCCCCCTTTTCTTTCTAATGTCTTAACAAATGAAACTGATTTGTAAAAAATATTACATGGGGGGGTGGATACGAGAGAGAGACATTGCACAGACCTTTGTAAATCAAGAAAATATTTAACAAATAAAAAATAAATAAAAGTACTAGTGCCCCCAGACTGTACAGGGCCTTATATGTCCATACTCCTGAACTGGGCCTTGTGCAGAGTTCTTCTTGCTACCCCATGTAAAAACATGGCAGTGGAATTCTTCACTAACTGCATCTTCTGGACTATATTGAAAAGGCAGCTCCATGTAGAGTGTGTTGCAGTAATTCAACTGAGAGATGGTAGAGTGTGTGTTGGTTGGTGGTCATTGCCACCAGGCTGTCTTGGTCCACACATGGCTGCTGGTTTCCATTAAAGTGAATGGGGGACAATATGAATGCCATGAAGCTGAGCAGATGTCCCCCAATACTACTGTATGGGAGCAGTCCTTTAAGGATGACCGAGATTGTTTTCAGTGCCATACCCAGATCTGAAGGCAAACTGAAATTAGGTTGAATATTAATTTTATCCTGGAATGTTTGTAGTTGGCGAGCTGTCACACTCTGCTATCTTGCCCAGGAATGGGATATGTGACTGGATGCTTCAGGAAGGAATGCACTACGACTTCTAAGTGAGACATAATCCATTCCCTTTATCCACCTAATCAGGTTCCTCCTTGCTAGATCTTAAAAGCCAAAATGGGCAAGGGTCAAGAGAGCATGTGGTGGCCTGACATCTTCTAATGTTCTGCTGTATCCTCAGGCAACAATAACTGAAAAAAATGGCAATGCTCTAAGTACCTCTAAAGGCCTAATCAACTGTGGTATCAAGTTTGGAGCAGACATTGACTTTCGATGCGAGAATGGTCAATTTCCAAGTGGTTGGCCATTTTTTCTCCAAGGCTGTGCCTCACCAATTATTTTACTACTCATAAAAACTCTGCTGAGCAGTTCACTGAGGACAGAGTGGAGGGGGAGCTTGGAATGAAAGCAAGCCCGTCTATAGGCGTGAGCAGCTGGGTACACTTGTGCGGCCCTTGGAGAGCTACCGTAAGTCAGCCAAGGGGCCCTGCTATCTTATGTAACCAGACTGGCTGATTTTTTGTTTGAGTTTACAACTTTATTCTAACAGGACCTCCACCCTGGCCTCAGACCAGCTGAGCCTGATAAAAAGCCTAATAAATTTGTTCGTGTTTTTAAGGGGCTGCACGAGTCTTTGTTGATTTTGCTGCATTCTAAGTTCCATTGAGATGAGTGGGGTTTGCTTTCAGGAAATAGGTATAGGTTGGAATTCAACATGTCTACCCTTCTAGAAACTTTTGGTAAAGATAAGTATGGAAGGGTTTGAGTGGGGCCCTTTAGATAAGTGCATAAGAGCCTTCCTAGAGCTAATTAAGGTATTTCTTGGCCAGCAGCCGGTTTCCTACAATTGTTAGGGAGATGCCTCTGGAAAACCTACAATGTCACTCAGAAGTGCAATTTGTGGTATGATACCATTGCATTGAAATATTTGTCATTTCTGCAGAAACACCAAGTGCATCTAATGCAGAATGTCAAGTCGTTCCCTAAAAATAAATGCAGAAGCCCAAATCTTGAAATTCCATTTTCAAGTATTGATTTTCATGTGTATTTTCAAATAAAAAAAATTTAGAGTAGGAAAAAGGGTGCTTTCCAAATCAAGTGTAAAATGTATATTCTTCCTTACTGCCTCCCTTTTAAAGCACAAGGAAGCATCAGGACTAGTTGCAAAATAGTGGCATAAGGATTGATCATACAGCTTTCAAACTAGCTAGCAAAGCTGCAGTAAGACCTCGTTAAAAGCAACCATTTAATAAGTGTATCTTACAGGTGAGGAAAAACTTCAGTATGAGAGGTAATTGATTAGTACAAGACCAGCCATGGCAGAGAATTATTTTTGATTGCAGATTTACTTTCTGTTGAGAATTAGATTACATTAACTAATTCTCATTAACTTAACTTGGAAAAAGTATATAAAGTGTATTGATTAGATCAGCATATAATTACATCTCATTTAAAAATATGTAAATAGTAGAAATAGTAAAGTTCATTAAGAGAAGAAATAGAATTGAATATAAATAGAAAGATCATTTTTAAAATAACCATTTAACACTGTAATTGTCAATTAAACTAAACACAAGTTCTTTATTAGCACATTAGTTTCCACACATGTAATTTGAATCCCTTGATCCCTACAAATCAGCCAGATATCTACAAATAGATCCAAAGTCTACTTTCCCTCCATCCCAACCCTAGATGGTTCATGGCAAGGCCTCAGTTCTCTGTGAATAGCTCAAGTATTATTGCAGCAGACCTCGTGCCAGGATAGCATGGCATGGGAGAAGACTATCAGGCAGTCTTTTTTGTTGCTTCTCAGCACTTTGTTTTCACTTGAGAACATTGGTTCACATAGTAATGATCATATGGTGGTAAATTTCCATTAAGCTGGTGTGGTTTCCAGTTGTGTCTATGTGTTTTCGTGCATTATACATACAACTATATTGCATCATTTGCCATTGGTTATGTAAAGTGAAGGGACGCGGGTGGCGCTGTGGTCTAAACCACAGAGCCTAGGGCTTGCCAATCGGAAGGTCAGCGGTTCGAATCCCCGCAATGGGGTGAGCTCCTGTTGCTCAGTCCCAGCTCCTGCCAACCTAGCAGTTCGAAAGCACATCAAAGTGCAAGTAGATAAATAGGTACCGCTCCAGCGGGAAGGTAAACGTCGTTTCCATGTGCTGCTCTGGTTCGCCAGAAGCGGCTTAGTCATGCTGGCCACATGACCCAGAAAAACTGTCTCTGGACAAACGTCGGCTCCCTCGGCCAGTAAAGCGTGATAAGCGCCACAACCCCAGAGTCGTTCGCGACTAGACTTAACTGTCAGGGGTCTTTTACCTTTACCTTTTATGTAAAGTGAAATATAATAAGCCTATCTTGTGCACATTGCACCTTTTTTCAAGCTGTTTATTTTGTATTAATACTATACTATTGAATACTCTTGTTTTTAAAAAACAGGTCGTGAATATATTATCCCATCCTTGGCTCACAGGTTTATAGCAGAGATGGTGGACTTCTTCATTCTTTTCTTTATTAAAGCAACCATAGTTTTGAGTATTATGCACCTCAGTGGAATAAAGTAAGTTTTATAATACATAATATAGAAAATGTTATAATTTCTCCTCTTCTTAACTGTGCTCTTCTTTTCATTGAATTAGAAAAACGTATAACAGAACTAGTCCATTTCAAATTGCAGGTGGAGGCTGAATGACTGAATGTTCTTCATACCAAAATCAATCCCTGAACATAGAAAACATATATGTTAAAGGATCTAGCCAAGTTTCCTCCCTGCCATACTAGATTTCTAGGTGTAGAACTATTTTTCCATGTAGGAACACTCATGAATGAGTCTTTTCAAATATTTTGATACATTTTTAATTATTGGTGCTGTGGTTTAAAAAAATGTTAGTTGCTTTGAGCCAAAAAATGTTTCTTTATTAAACAACAAACTAATATGATAATAATACTTTGTATAAGCTTAAATTTAGTTGTACCCTATTTCTCAAGCTTTGGAGTTGCAGCAAAACTTAAGTCATACTTCAAGATTTAGTAAATACAGCACTTGCTAAATGAGTGCTATAGTCCTTGGGTGTAGGTGACTTTTGACTTAATGAATATTGTTTCCTTATAGAGAAGTATATTGGAAAATTATGTTCATCTTTTAAAAAATTATAGAATACTTGTTTGCATCTCACCTAATGTTTTTTAACATGGCATTTTAAAAATAATTGTATAGCTTGATAAAAGTTGATAAGTTGGTATTGGTCAGTATAAAATATTTAGGTTTCTAAGATGGTTTGCTTACCTCAAAATAATTAACATAATCCAGCATTTTTGTACACTTTGAAGTATTTGTAACAGTTCACATACACTACCATATTTTAGACTGTACAGCTTCCCTGTGTTGGAGGAACTTTGGAGGAGAAGATGGAGGAGTATTTTTATCCATGAATTTTGAGATTGAGAGTTTGGCTTGCCTAAGGTTACACTGTGAAGTTCATGACACAGGCAAGATTAGTCCTGGGGACTTCCTACCATATACTAGCTCTCATGCTTTTGTAGATGTGGAATTGTGCTTTTAGATGCGAAATAAGCATATTTTCTGCATGAATTGAAACTGTTGCCAAGAGCGAGTAGCATCCAGCTTGTGTAATCTAAATACAGTTGGGACTGGCTGAAATATAGACACAATTTGTCATGGGTATAGCCAGGATTTTTGTTGTGGGGGAGCAGAACCTCAGTTATTTAAGTATTTTTTATGGATTTTTCTTGATGGAGGGGCAGCTGCCCCCTTGGCTACACCCATGCAACTTAATTCTGATTCCTTAGTCACTATTCAATTCTATGCACTTAAAATTCCCATCAGGTGAAAACATTTGACAGGAAAGTGGCGATTGAATAGAAGCATCTATACTGTAGTGCGATATTGTATGTTAGTGTTATTGATTACTAAAATGTTTTTTGTTTTTTTTGTGGTGCAGGGATATATCCAAGTTTGCCATGCATTACATCATAGAGGAAATAGATGAAGACACTTCCATGGAAGATTTACAGAAAATGATGATAGTGGCCCTTGTCTACAGATTGCTAGTCTGCTTCTATGAGGTATCTAAGCCTTAACTACACGTTCAGTACTGAATAGTGAAAACATATGTCTTAATCCTTAGTGAGCTTAAACTGACACAGATAATGAGAACTTTTGGAAAAGTCACCGATATACAAAATGAATTCCTATTTTATGTTACATTCTAGTGTGACCAAGAAGCAGAAGCCACTATCTACATAATCTCTAGGGTTATTGAGTTGCCCAGGACAGGGAGCAGGTTATCCCTCCCTCTCCAGTTATATCCCCAATTACAAAACATGTTTTGAAGTTCTTCTGGTTTCATCAAGTTAGCTTCATTTTTAAAGTGTTTGCATTTGGAAGGTTGTGCAAGGTAAAATATTGTTCCCTGGCGACAAAATTTGAAATGGCATTTATTTTCAGATTATTTGCATTTGGGGAGCAGGTGGAGCAACCCCAGGAAAATTTCTGCTTGGGCTTCGAGTTGTGACATGCGACACATCTGTACTTATTGCACCAAGTCGCGTGTTAGTGATTCCATCTTCTAATGTGAGCATGACAACGTAAGTTAACTTTTTTTTGTATCACTATTATGTTGGTTCATGTTGGTACAAGTTGGTACATATTATGTTGGTACAAGTAGTGGTTCATCAATTTTTTCTAGTTACATTGAATAAATAGTTATTTTGTCCTTCATTGACTAGAGCCTTGCAATAAGGTCTTTTGCCCACCTCCACTTCAATTTCAAGGTGGCATACAGCCTAATTAAACTTTATACAGTAAGATTTTTTAACAAAATAAGCCAACAATAGAGACAGCTGGCATTGAAAACAACAAGCACTATAAAGACATTTTTAAAAACCACATACATCAGTAGGCAGAACTTATTTTATTTTTGAACTAATAACAAGACTAACTTTTAACTTGATGCTTTAGTGGGCAATCCTATGGCAAGTTCTGCTGGAATGGCTAGCTTAGGATGCAGTAGATTTCGGGCTTAGCTGGTTGATCCCTGGCTCAGCTGGTGTTAAGTCCCTAACCCTGAACTCTGCCGAAGATACACCAACGTAACTTGTTCATCCTAGTTCAGCTGGTGCTCAGATGGCACTCAATTGGCTGAGCTGAAGGTCATTGAGCCAAGGCTGGTGTAAGCCCCGAAAAGGGGGGTTCCAGGGGTATGATGCAACCAGATTGGGGGACTTTAGCTGGATCCTAGGCTCATTCAGTTCAATCACATGACCTGGCAACCCAGCATAGAAAACTATTTTAAAGGCAAGTTTTCCCTTTACCAGGCTTTGGCAGAGCAGCAGTATCCCTGTGGCTGAATAGGGTTTGGATCCAGTGTCTTTGCATCAGGTTTACTTACACTGGCTTTCTTTATGCCAGCTTCTTGTGCGTAGGATTGTTCCCTTAATTGTCATCTAACAATTTATGAGGAAGAAAGCTTGGTTATTTATAACTCCCTGAATTACTGTTCTGATTTTTATCCTTATGAGGTACAACAATCAGAACCGTACAGGGTATTCTATGGTGCGACAATGCTTGTCTTTGTATAAAGGCATTATAATATTGAATCCTTTACTAATGATCTCTGGTTGCTTTTCCTGGAGAAACGGTGTTTGAATATTTAATGAATGGAAGAAGTATGTTAGTAAAACACAAAATACTAGTTGTGCAGCAGTACACCAGCTGTGAAGGGGGAACATGGCTTTGGTGTGGCTATGTTAAGAGTGGATTCTTCAAACTAGGACTAATATCCTTGATTCTGAAAGTAACAATAGAAAATTTGTCTTAATGAAAGCTGATGTGTATCAGTTCTCAGAAATGGGAAATTATTCCGGGGGGGGTTGGTTTTTGTGTGTTTTTTAGCAGTTGTATAACTCTTGTCAAAATAACTCGTTTACAGAACAAACTGCAGAGATGACATATAATTTCTTTTCTTTCCAGATCTACAATACGAGCTTTGATCAAGAATTTTTCTATTGCTTCCTTTTTTCCTGCATTCATTACCCTGCTGTTCTTTCAGCATAACCGAACAGCCTATGATATTGTAGCAGGAACAATTGTGGTAAAACGAAACGGTGTCAGATGATACACAAGGAAGCCAGGATTCTACTGTTCAAATGTGCTGATGACATCTGGTGGATTTCTGAATCTGTCACTCCAGAACAGTGCCAATGATGACACTGAACTTTTTTTTAATTCCAGCAGTGCCATAAACATTGGAGAAAATGGCACTGATATAATTTGAGAGTATTTGAACTGATCAAGAGAATTAGTTCTCTTTAAAAGCTATTGGCAGCCTATGGTCAGAGTGTCTTCTAGTTTATGAGAAATGCTAGTTCTACAGTGAGGGTCCTATAGCAAAAGAGAGACTTATTTTTCATGAACACTCAAAACTATTACAGGAGATAACCAAAGGGATTATAGTGTTTGCGGCAAATTGTTAGAAGTTATATAATGCTATGGTGGCAGACTTGAGTTGCCACTTTATAAAAGCCTTATCATGAATTTCTCATGCAAACATTGTATTTTAATACTCAAAAGTTTTCTTTAAACATCTTGTGTGTCTTGCATGATGAAGAGATATTGAACACAAATCCAATAACTGAATATGTGCTATATCATGGAAGGCAGATAATTCTGGTATTGGTAAACTGGTATATATTGGAGTTCTGGCAGTATTACTATAGGGAATAGATGCAAATTACATGTTAATCACTGCTTAGGATAAGGAAAAGTTTGATTTCTCTCTCCTCCCTCTCCCCCTTTGTAAGAGCACAGAAAACTTAAACTAGTGCAAAAAGGAAAAAACAAAGCTTCAGATTTGTTTAATGAGAACCACAATAAGTTTGAGATACGAGCAAAAGGAAGTTTATGCATAGCCTTTTGCACCATTTTATAACAAAATAACTTTTTTAAAAATAGCCAGTAACACTATCGCTAAAGCAATAGAGAATCTGTGTGATCTTTGAAAAAGCAAATGTAAATAGGTGCACTTTCACTTTATCTGGTTGTGTGCCTAGATAATTTAAATTATCCTTATTGAACAAAGCATATTTTGCATGATTTATTTTTACAAATAGAATATTAGCTGAATAGCACATTGGTATCAAGTTTGCCAAGCCATAAAAAGTATTACCATTCTCCCTTAATCTTCTGTTCCCTTAAGATCAAATACTATGTAACCAGAACACAATGTTTCTATTAATTTGTTTCTGGTCACTTGATAAGGAACTAACTTATTGTAATGGGATATTGCTGATTTTTTTTTTTAAATATACGTGTCTTTTTAAAATGTAATTATTATAACATACACTGGTGTTTTCAAGTTATTGTAGTATCTCAATTTAAGGAAGTTCACAACAGAGCCATTGGTTTAGTTTTGGAACTGGTGTACAATGGTGTCGTGAGATTCAGATTCTTGTCCATGTACATAAGCAGGGATCTCAAACTTGACAGATCATATGGCTACAGTGATGACTTTCCAAATGTAACAGAGTATCAGAAATAGTCTTCTAATTAGACAAACAGTTAAGAGGGAAGGGCTGCTGTTCAATAGGGAGCAGCAAAGAAATATTATTTCTCGCCTCACAGGAATTTTGAGAAGTCCTGTGTTCAAATAAAGATGAATGTGCGAGAGCCTCTTGGAGGGGAGATCATACAGGAGTAAGTACTTAACATTTCTCCTAAAATACATTTCTGGAAGGGTTAAAAGTTTGTGCCACGGCTGCTTCCTTAACTCGTCTCTTTCCATCTTTCTGAATGAATTAATTTTAGGGCTGAAAAATCTGCAAGTAGTCTTGCTGCTACGGTTTGCAGCACTGAACATAAATGAATGTTGAGGAAGGCCTACTTACAGGAGAGCACTGATGGATTGGGAGATTTACCACACCCACTTGTTCTATGGCAAATATCCTATTCCTTAGAATTAAAGAACCTATGAGCCAATTGGCAGGCAATGCTAAGCTGAATTAGTTTAGCATGGGTTTCTTGAAGAGATCTTGGCCACTGCCCTTCTCTGCTTCTCCCACACCCTGCTAATGCTAATACATCTTGTCATTCAGACAAGATGTAACCAGGGTTTGTTCATGGTTTGGTTTAGCTTTAGGTGCCTGTCTTCATTAATTATAACTTAGCACTAATTCAGTCCCTCTGAGAGAACAGCTGGGCTGACAAATCAATTAAGCTCTATGAATCGAGTAGTAAGAGGTAGCTCCACACAGCATTGCTGAATTATGTGCTACTAGTTTATCCTAGTTTAATTAAAGCTGATATCAATTGGGGATAGCATCTCTGCTTCTGGTGTGATAAGATCATTCAGTTACTTCCAACAGCAAGGGATAGCAGAATTGACTGCCTGCAGAGTAGTCAGGCCCAGAACAGTGAACCATGTGGAAAATCATGGAGTGGAGCTCTGACTAGTGGAAGTCAGTCCATCTGGATGTGAAAAAGGTGGTCACCAGTTCAAGGATTGTGGATTTTGACTTTATGTTTCCACTACCCTTCTGTGTTGCATTTAACTTGTAAGGTGTTTTTTGCACACAGTTCCATCAATTGAAGGGTACATTTCTACACTTTTAGTTAAGCTGAGAGAGACACAGTAGTAGTAGCAGCAGCGGTATTATCAGTTGTAGAGCACAAAGGACACAAACTGCTTTGATCAACTATTTTAGTAATGAATACTGCAGTACTTGTGTTACTAGATATTATAAAGATTAATTAAGCCAGCATTTAAACTGCCTACATGATTGCTTTTTTATACTTTGGGTATGTGTCTTTATGTTGCATTTATCAAGTTGTTGCTTTGTTGCTCATAGTTGAGTATTACATATTTTAGGCTTTAAAACCCACATTTTTCAGTGAAAGCTGCTAATTCCTGACTGCTGGGGCTGATAAATTTATTATGGTCATATGTTATTTTAAAAGGTGCTTCATAAATTCATCTTTGTTTCTAGACCCTTGGCTCATAGACTAATAGTTTAGTTGCATTACTCTTGAGCCACCATGCTTCAAAAGGTCTCAGGAACAGCAGAATGGAAAGGTTACAAGTTTTTTTTTTACCTGCCCCCAAGCATATACAAAAAAGCCAGCCAGACATGGAGTTGTGCATATTGCAAAAGCAGGTTCTACGTCACAAAGTAAATTGCCCACAACTGGCAACTGCTCCTTGACTTCTTGCCTCCCACATCCCTTTCCAAAAAGGAGTAAATGTGTTCAGCCACTTATGTTATTTTTCTTTAGGCTATCAAACGTGCTAGAAACCCATCCCTGAGGACTGCTAGGATAAAAGCAAAATACATGGGACAAAATGTTCTTTGTGTGTCTTGAGGACTTTGGCCCCTGCAGCAGAGGATTAGGGCAAGAGAAAACGATGGAGAATGGTTTGCTAGATGGTGATAATGCAAGCTGTTGGAAAAACATAGTTGAAAGGTCCTTATCCAGTTGTTTTTTTTGAGGCATGTATGTAAACCTAAAGACCTACTAGCCTTAAGATAGCAGGAAAGGGGAGAAATGAGCACAAACCTCCTGACTGGAACTCTTGAAGGGTCCTGTGAAGATGAGGACCTGCATATGGGACTGCAGACCGCAAACAAGAAGAACCTCTTATAAACCAAGCTGAGACTGTTAATCACGGTACCTGCGATCGTTTATCTTTCACTTGCTGCCAGTTACTTGGCAGTAACTATTTTAATAAAGACATTATCGTCCCTGGTTTATTATGTATGGCTGCAAGGTAAAGTGTATTCAAATGCTCCAGACAACTGGGTTTAGCCCTCTGGGTTTTGAAGTTCAGGCACCCTGTTATTAGCACAATAACAGATGCATTTAATTTACATTGATCAGCATTTGTTAACTGTAAATATAAGACGTATATCCTACTAACAGAGAATTTGTAGATTCTTGTAAGATCACGTGCTTATATTAAAATTCACCACAAACATATTTCCATAATTTTTATTGATGGCATTTATCCCATGGTTTAACATGTTAATTATACTGTAATAAACATGGCTTTAATATTAAACTTTTCCTTATTATCCAAAGTCACCAGAGTCCATTTCCGTAAATATAAAAATATATACTTAACACTTTGTACAATACTGGTTTTTGGTCCAAACAAAAATGGATCAGAAAAGCCAATAAACTCACTTTAAGAATTCCCAATTTTAAAGGTCTTTAATGGATTTAGGCAACTTTGAATAATGAGATTTACATAATAAAATCTGAGACAATACTAAACAAAAATTTGCTGTAACACACAAAATTAAAATTTCAAGTTCACAGATCTGTTATGTCAAAGTACATTGAGAAACTGAATTGTATTTACACATTTGTTTCATAATAAAATATTGAAAAAGCGAGACAGGTGATAAGGAGTAAGAATGAAAATAGAAAGAGCATCTAATTATTGAATGAAGTACTACTGATCTAACTAGTCCTTAGCATGGACCATTCTTTAATCATTCTTCCTCTATCAGAAAATTTTAGTGCACAATACACGCAACTCGCTCACTTCACACATACATCAGCACAAACTCCGCATAGAAACCACTCATTATCCACATTCTCTACTCTATACAGACTCCCCTCTGATATAATTACAATTTCGAGGTGTCAGTAAACGCAGATGAGCGCACAAAGTGGTGCAAACAGAGGTATTATATGAAGCCATTCGCTGTGCAGGCTATATTTATATCTATAGCCAGACCATGCCAAGTCAGTGAAAACTCTTGGATTCTAAAATAGTTTTGCTTAAGATCCTCCCTGCCACCAACTCTTAATTATTTAAAAAACCTAAATGGGGAGGGGAAAAAGCGAGCAGAGTTTAGGCAGACCTGGCTTCAGCTAAACCCAGCATGAGGTACAATTCAGTAATTGAACAATGCAGGGCAACCAGCTGTGGGTAAGAAAACTGCTGTCTGTAACAATCATTAATATTTTATTTTCTACGTCTAACAGCTGTCTTTATCTTCCGAACAGGCTGCGAAGATCCAGATGTGGAGAATATATTTTTCCCATTATTCCTGCTTTAGGGAGGAAAAGAATTAAACATGAGGAACTTAAAAGTGATAGTCGTATGTCTTAAAGCTTCTAATATTGTGGAACAAAAATTTAAAAAAATCCACTGTAAAAAAACCAGGCACTTGCGTGAGTATCCCATAGATCATTTACTAAATACATCATTTTTTTAGAGATTATGTCACTCAGTTAAGGAGTTGTAATCTAAACTTTTGTTTCAAGGATAGCTGCAGGCGTATAATTGATCTGAAAGGCTTAATGCCATCAGCTTTAAATATTCATTTCCATTAGCCACAGTTAGATTGAAATTTAAATTTACACCAAATTTGTAGATTCAATTAATGCAAGTTCATCCTGCCCCCCACCCCGGCACTGCTATTCAATAGTGTGGAATTCCCATAGATGTACCTGAAAATGATTCCCTTACATTACAACATGTGCATGGAAGCACTAGGAGATTGCACCTTCAATATATACAGACCCCGCCACACTATCATGCCAAGTCTTAACCCCTTCTTACCCTGGGTTAAATGATGAAGGCTGGGTGAATGAAAATCCCGAAGAGCCACCTGCAGGCTGTGCTGGAGCACCAGAAGCTGCACCAAAGGTAAATACTCCTGGGCTGTTGCCTGTAAAGTTGAAATTAGTACTACTTCCGAACTGGAACACCGGGCCTAAGAGAGCGAGATAACCGAGACTTAGCCTCTTGGATGAAAAGCATTGTTTCACAATTATTTGTCTATGGGGAACTTTAATTTCTTAAGAAGCACTAAATAGGTGATTACAAAGGAAGAGAATGCAAGTATAGTAGTTCACAAAGCAACTACTGCATTGCTGGAGTGCACCAATAAGATATTCTGGATTCCACAGAGCTAGATCTAAAAAATAAAATAAATGCATGTTCAAGAGCACAAACATTTATTTAACAAGACCTTCCGATGCTACATGGCAAAACTCTTCTGAAACCAATGCAACCTTCAGAAGCAGTTTCTAATACAAAAAAGGAAAAAATCCATTTTGCCATGTCCAAATCCATTGGCAGAGCTAATGTAGTTTTTTGTTTCTGGCTAACTGTCTCGTTTTCTACCGTATGCTACACAGTGCATCAGGTAGCATATATCCTAAGCATTAGCTCTTTGGATTATATTTTGGCTGAAATGATTCATAAAATATGTACAAAGCCATGGATCTTCAGAGGAAAAAATATTCCAATAAAGCAGATGTATCATACAAAGCATCATATCAGTATTCTTGGGGAAAAGCAGCTAGGTCAGGGGTAGGCAACCTAAGGCCCGGGGGCCGGATGCAGCCCAATCGCCTTCTCAATCCAGCCTGCGGAGGGTCTGGGAATCAGCAAGTTTTTACATGAGTAGAATGTGTCCTTTTATTTAAAATGCACCTCTGGGTTATTTGTGGGGCATAGGAATTCGTTGTTGTTTTTCACCAAAATATAGTCCGGCCCACCACATGGTCTGAGGGACGGTGGACCAGCCCACAGCTGAAAAAGGTTGCTGACCCCTGAACTAGATCTTTCAAAATACATTGTTTTGACAATGACGTTTATCTGTCTCCACGTAAACATTTTACACTCCTATGTTCAGTATCCCACTGAGCTGTAATTTTATCAATGCAAAACAAAAAATTCTGAGCACAGAGTTAAGAGGAACTTATCATTTATAAATTCTATGCCATTTGCACAAAGAATGTGTGTGTATAAGGGATTCTCAAACCAAGAAATCACTTGTGTACAGATGTTTTGACTTGACCTTGCATGCACACTATATTGAGGTAAGCACATACCACTTGAAGCATATCTAGATCATTTTCTGTTTCTAGTATTACATCAATACTACTCAACTTTTCAAATCAATAGTTAATTTGCAAACAGAATTTGATTCAAGAAGTATTTTAAAGTGGCACTCATGATGCTAGCACAGGTTAGCATGCAAAGAAGACTGAAAAATTAGGATGGAACCACTTAAACATAGCTCTGCCTTAGCAACACCACCAGCCTACAACCAAGACCTCTAGAGGTTTTACTTACCAGAATTAGGAGCTGTACTAGAGCCAAAACTAGGTGGTTGGGTAGCTTGTTGTCCAAAGACAGGAGGCTGTGTACTGCTTGACACAGAGCCAAAAGCTGGAGGCGCTGGCTGAGCACCAGTAGAAAATAATGAGGAGGAGAGTGATCCAAAGGTTGGAGCAGGGGGCTGGCTGGAGCCTTGACTTTGACCAAATGTTGGTGTTTGACTGGCACCAAATGCAGGACCAGTTGGAGGAGCTGAAGACCCAGAACCAAACACAAATGAAGAGGATGAACCTAGAAAAACAAGTGAGCAGAATAAACTTGAGAACTGCTCTCGATGGTTAAGAATTTAACTATTTAGATTCTACCCTGGGGCATATAGGCTTTTGCTTATTTAACAGTTTATTTCAGCTGATCTTTAATGTTAAACTGTCTGAAATGTTCAGTAACTCTACCTGCTCTTTTATCTGTGACTACAAGTGGATTTGCATTGCTAATTCCTGTATGTTAACTGAGACGGGTCCCTACCAAAAGTGCATGTGACCATGCCTCAGAGAAAACTACCCAGTTAAAAATGGGTACATATGAAGCTTATCACCAGGTCAGTCCACTGCTAGGGATGAAAGCAGTCCTTTACTGAACATCAAGTGCCTAAAACTAATGCACATACATGTTGCCACTGTAACACTGCACTCCATTTTTGCAACAGGAAACAATTGAAAGGAAGGTAGGCACATTGACAAAGGGAAAACGGAAAGCATCAGCTGGCTGAAGGCAAAGTAGCAGTAGGAAGAAGACTTCCAGTGAGTGCAGAGGAAAGCGTTGTTTTGAACATTCACATTGCTACAGTAAAACATTACAGCAGTATTTGACGCACATAGAGCCCATCAATGGAATGTATGTAGCTGGTGTAGCACTGCTAGTTACGATTATGAACTGTGCAATCCCTGGTTCAATGTCAGCTCAGCCAACACCACACTAGGTAGCTTTAGAAAAGCTGGTCTCTCCCCCCCCCCCCACTTAGGAAGAACATTATATAAGTATCATTCAATTTGAATCAGTTGAATTTGTTATGGAACGTAACTGTCATAGCACTGATAAGTTTGCCAAGTCTATCTTTTTCAAAGCTCTCTGTATGTTGTTCAACAGCCAAGTTTCTGGAAAACAAATCCCTCAATAGATAGCCACAAACCAAATCTCTTCAAGTTCTGAGCATACCTGCAGGACCTGCTGTTGTGGTGGCTGCTGCAAAACTGAAGCCAGTGTTGGCTGCACTGTTAGTGGTGGCTGCTGTACCGAAAAGAAATGGAGCAGGAGCACTTGTATTGGAAGTGGTTGTTGGTGGTTTGCTCTCTTGGGAGAACCCAAAGGACTGGGTTGTACTGGAGTCAGAGGGATTACCAAAAGCAGAGCTGCTCACAGTGTTGCTGGCCTGTCCAAACAAAAAGCTTGGTGGGGCAGGATTTGAGGAAGAGGTGGTGCTGCTGAACACGCCACTGCTGCCGCCACCGCCAGCACCACCAGCAGCAGCAACACTTTGCACAGCAGTGTTGGAGGAACTAGAGCTCAGGAAGCCGAATGTAGACTTTGCTGATCCTGGATCTGAAAGTGAAAGGGATTAACATTATTTTTAGAAAGAAATGAAGATGCAGAGTAAAGCTAGATCACATAATCTGTGTTGGCTTGTATATCAAAGATCCAGTGCAGGAAACCCACTACAGTGGTGCCTCGCAAGACGAAATTAATCCGTTCCGCGAGTCTCTTCGTCTTGCGGTTTTTTTCGTCTTGCGAAGCGCGGCTATTAGCGGCTTTAAGAAAAAGGAAACAAACTCGCAAGAACTCGCAAGACGTTTCATCTTGCGAAGCAAGCCCATAGGGAAATTCGTCTTGCGGAACGACTCAAAAAACGGAAAACCCTTTCGTCTAGCGAGTTTTTTGTCTTGCGAGGCATTTGTCTTGCGGGGCACCACTGTACTATGACATCTCTGATAGATAACCACCCAGCCTCTTTTTAAACGTCTCTGATGAAGGAAAGTCCAATAGCAGTTTGTTTCACTGCCAAACAGCTTATATTGTCAGAAATGTTTAGCTGAAATTTAGGTTTTTGTAATTTGCACTTTGTTGGATTAGGGTCTACCCCATGGAGTAACAGAAAACAAATTTGCTCCATCATCTGTGTGATAGATTTAAAATACAGTGGTACCTCTGGTTACAAACTTACTTTGTTCCAGAGGTCCGTTCTTAACCTGAAACTGTTCTTAACCTGAGATACCACTTCAGATAATGGGGCCTCCTGCTGCTGCCACTGCACGATTTCTGTTCTCATCCTGGGGCAAAGTTCTTAACTCGAAGTACTACTTCCGGGTTAGCGGAGTCTGTAACCTGAAGTGTTTGTAACCCAAGGTACCACTGTATTTGAAGGTGGCTATCAATATCACCTCTTAACCAGATCTTCCCCTGGGTAAACACAAACATCTCCTTCAACCTTTCCTCATAGGACCTGGTTCCCAAGCCCCTCGCCATCTTTGTTGCCCTCCTCTGGACTAACTCAAATTTCAGTAGAATGCAGAGCACTGTGGTGCCCAGAACTGTACATAGCAGATCAGGTGAGTGTTACCAAAATGACAACAGTCTCTGACCTCAGGCTTACTATCTAGAAGTCTAGATAAACACAGATCTCTACATTTATCTTTCAAATTCATTTTGTTAGCTTTGGCTCAGTTCATCATCATCTTGAATCCTGTCTTTTATCCCTTCCTCAACAGTTGTAAAACTAACTGTGGATCTTAACTGGACAACTTCCACTTCTATTCACTGGCTGAGAAGTAGAAAGCTAGATTTTAGATGCCATAAAGGATTTCAGGAATTGTATGTGGAAATGTCCATGAGAAAATTCACCTAAGAATCCTACGAAAGCTATACCATGTTTTGCACAAATGGCATCACAGTTATGAGACACAATGGCCAGTCATTTCAGATATGACAACTGCTGTCTAATAAATCACGATTTACTGAACTTGGGACAAGCACTATGCTCAACATGGTTTCTTCTCTAATGAGCCATAACCCAAAACTAAATCACAAACAGTTGCCCATTATATTTGCACCAGGAAAGTATGATTTAATTAATTAAAAGTAAATGTTAAATAAAGTTAAATAAAAAGCAGAATATCAAACTTGAATTTTCAAAACCTGGTTTGCAGTTGGGAGATGAGGTCACAATTTCTCAGTTCAGATGTTACAAGAAATTATTGTTTTAACACCCCATAAAGAGGATGGGATGTGCAGGCACAATGCTCCTTCTGATAAACCATAGATAATTTAAACCAATATTGCCTGAAATGGGTCAGCACTATGCTTGCACCAAGGCATAGGACTGCTACACCAGGTTGATCAATTGCCACCCACTTTGCAATAAGATATCCTGATGTCAGGTGACATGAAAACAGGGTTGACATCGATGTGTTTGTGTGCCAGAACATGGTCTAAATAGCAAGGCCTTGATTGAACCTTGCAGTTGCTCTACCAACCACATGCAAATGACAATGCAAGTGGCAGAACAGCAGAGGGTGTCAAATTTGTATTCTTGGTCTGATATTCCTTCTCCTTTTCACCTTGAATAAACCCTGGCCTATGTTGGTAAACATTTTTCCAACCAGCCTCTTTTCACTCTTCACTCTATTCCTTCTTTATGCTTCTCCTATAGCTCCTCTGTGTTTAGCTCCTATGTTGATCTTCTCTTCATCTTCACATACTGTTCTCTTGGACATTCATTACTTCCAAAAAACCTTCCTTTCAACTCTCCCACTTCCTATATCATTCTATTTTTCTCCTTCAGAATGTTTCCAAAATTCTTCAGTGGGCGGTGCTTGCATTCTCTCTCTTTCCTTTACTAGTACTGCTTTTGACTTGCTTATTCCATTTTCATGACTTTTACTGGAGGGGAACACTCAAATTTCTAATTATGTATGCAAAATGCGTTGAATACTCAGTGGCAGCTACATAAATGTGAAGTGCAGTATCTTATTTTTATATCCCAGGATCTCCTCCACCTCCTTCCAATATTCTATTTTTTCTGTTTCCATTGTTTTGTCTGATCTTAAAAAAGCATGAATAGCATTTTTTTAAACTAATGTCATTATTTTCCTCAACAGTCTTTACTTTTCTCCCTCTCCTTTATATTTTGTTTTAATTTAGTAAAACTGTAGTAAAACTCTTTAGTAAGAGAGACTGATTCCTAGGATCTACAATGTTCTGTTACAGGTGTCCTATATAATCTTCCTTTTGCTTCCATTATCCATGTCTTTATCTTAAACTGTTTTTAACCTATTCACTTACATCTCCATTTCTCTGCTCACGATCTTGCCTCTTATCTCAATAGTTCTAGATGCTTCACCAAGTGTCTTCTCACTAAGCTCCTATTTCATCTAAAACCAAACACATTGGTTTTGCCTCCTGCCTGTTCTTTCTCAATTCTTCTTTCACGAAATTATTTTTCCCTTTCCTTACATTTACTTGGATTATTTTCTCACATAATTCCCTTGTCTTCAGATCCAGTTTTTCTTCTTAACTCTAAGATCACTAGTCTCTTTCTATAATGGGGACACTTTTACATTCCCTTTTTGCAGACTCAATCATTGTAATGTTTTATATTCCTCCTCCATCTTAAAAATCTGTTCTCAATTCTTCTGTTCATTTGATGTTATGCACACTGCTTTGACCATATAATTCCCATGTCCAATTTCTAATATTGGCTTCCTTTTCCATCTTGCATCTATCATAAGTTGTTACTGAACTTTGTGTCTTCGTTCTCTTGCTCCATGCTATCTCTCTCCCCTTGTAATAAATAATAAAACAGTAATTATAAGACCCTGATGTTCTGTGGTTATTTCCCTGATTGTAATTTCCCCCCAGCTCCTATGAAATAATTCATTCATAATTATCCATGTGCAAAGATTGTTACGTACAATTCTCGTTCAATTAATGTATTCATTTTTTCAAAGTATGATTCCTGTTCCAATTTCCTACTCTGAAACCATTGCTTTCTTTAAGAGCTGCTGTTTAGTATTGGCTATTTGACCAGTAAAAAAAAACCCAACTCAGTGAACTTGATAGTCAAGCATTTAAAGCATTAATTTAGAAAAGCTATAAGAGATACTGATGCCAAGGACAAAATTTAATTAACTGATGAAAATTAAATCATTAAGTATTGCAAACAGTTATTTATAGCCAACTATGTTATGCACATTAAATGTGCCAAATATGGTCAAAAGATTGAAGAGTTCTTCTTTGTTATTTGGGACCCCTAAGGCAGCCCACAAAATTTGTCATGGTTTATTTGATATTCACCCTGGAAACTGAAGTACCCACAAATACATTTTTGTTTAATGTTTTATAATCAGCCACTGTAAAGACCTACAGCCTGGTAATAAGTCATTCAACTGAACAGCATCCCAAACCTAATGGTGACAGCAGTTTCCAAAAGCTGGCAATTAAATGACCTATGCACAATCCTAAGGATTTATAATCAGAAATGGCTGCTATTCCATAGCAAAAGAACATCTACAATATTCACTTAAAATATTTAAGTGTAAATAATAGTTCCCACTACCAACTCTTCTAAAATAAACTCAGTTTGTCTTAATTAGGTTTGCTATCAGAATTCTTAAATAAAATGTTTGTAAGACTCCAATTTAGAAGATCAAATGAGTTGTTACAAAGCATCACATTTACACCCTGTCTACAGGCAGGTTGCCTGAGCTTGCGCTGAGCTTTATCGAGAGATTACAGGCCTACAGGAACTGCGTACCTTATTTGTATGGCTAGTTTCCCACTGTAGGCCTTAAGCCATGGGTAGGCAAACTAAGGCCCAGGGGCCAGATCCGGCCCAATCACCTTCTAAATCCAGCCCATGGACGGTCTGGGAATCAGTGTGTTTTTACATGAGTAGAATGTGTCATTTTATTTAAAATGCATCTCTGGGTTATTTGTGGGGCATAGGAATTCGTTCATTATTTTTCCTTCAAAATATAGTCCGGCCCCCCACAAGGTCTAAGTAACAGTGGACCGGCCCCCTGCTGAAAAAGTTTGCTGACCCCTGCCTTAAGCTATCCAAGGGGTATTTGCCTTTTCCAAGAACACTGCCCATTTCAAAATAAAACACTTCTGTAGGCTTTCAAAAAGTGGTGTTCATTAACAGTATATTTCAGAAGCAAAAGGACAACAGAGATAATATTACAAGCCTCTATCATTGATCTCAAGGTCTCTTCATAGTTCAGTTTCTTAAATCACCTGTCAAAAAAAATCCGTTTCACAGCATGATGGGATAAATTATAAGGAATTTTTGTACCTACCTGCAGTGCTTGCTTGTGCTCCAAACATAAAAGCAGGCTTTGCTTGTTGTTCAGTTTCTTTCTCTGCTGGTTTTGCTAGGCTGAAACTAAATCCAGATTTTGCTGTGCTGTCATCTTTGGTTTGCTCTGCCTTCGCAAATGGAAACATGGGTTGTGCCTTTGATTCTTCATTTTCTGCTTTCTTTCCAAACACTGATGGATAGGAAGGGGCAACAGTGTCCGGTTTTTCATCTGTCCTTCCCAAAACAAGCTGCGGGGTGGGCATGGATTCTACATTACCAAAAGTAAAGCCACCTTTTGTTGAAGGGTTTTCATCTTTTTTCTCCTCCACTTTCTTAAAGGAGAAGGGAGTGACTGAAGTTTCCTTTTCCTCTGTATTACCAAATTTGAAACCGCTTATTCCAGTTTTACTCTCAGGTGCAGCTGCAGAGGCTGTGGAACCTGTGCCGAAAGTAAAGCCTCCTCCAGCAGGCTTGCTAAGTCCCTCTTTCTTCTCTTGCTGTCCAAGGTTAGCTATTCCAAACTGAAATGATGTGGAAGGCGTACTTTTAGCCCCAGAGGGAAGTCCAAAGTTGAAACTACTATTGCTCTTGCCATCTTTCACATTGTCCTCAGATTCAGATTCCAAAGGAAAGCTTCCCAGTTTGGACCCTTCTGTTTTCGAGAATTTAAAGCCTCCAGTCACTGTGTTTGTTGATGATCCCAGCTCTGATGTAATACCAAATTTGAATCCTGTTTGCTCTCCAAATTTGAAACTCTTTTCTGCATTTCCCAGTGTCTGAGGCAGCTCTGACGGTGATGACTGAATACCAAATTTGAAGGAAGTAGTAGATGGGACTGTAGAAGCAGCAGCAGTTCCAAAACCTGAAAACAACATAGTACACAAAATGTGTTACAAACCCAACATAACCTTTTTTATAAACATTTTTATGTAAAAAAAAATGTTAGAAAAATAATCATTCTCACGTCCCAATACTGTGACTTCTCTTAACCACCATAACTGGTGTTATAATAACTCATTCTAGCTCACGGATTACTGATGAGTTCAGGTTAGGAATAAGAAGCACAGAGTAATTTGGCAAGAGGATAAATGTATTTTCCTTAGTAAATTTGAAGATGGTCTCAGCACCATTAACATAAAGTGAATAGAGGTGTATGCAAAATGTTACTGAAAGAATTAAAAATATTCTATTAGGATAATGTAATTATACACAGGGTGTGACTACAGACATGACAAGTGTGACTACACATGATCACATTCTGGGGAGATTTAATGAATTCTATTTGAAGACTAGGATATTCTATAAAAGTATGTTTTTTCAAAGGCCACTTGCCTTTTTAAAAGCAAGTTTAGCAAATTTAGCAAGTTAGCAAATTTCACTGGAATGAAATCAGTCCCCCTGTTTGTAAAGTGCATGTTCTGAATGCTGAGGGATGGGGAAAGGAGAGGGGAGGGAGCCAGTGTAGACAGGAGAGGACTATCCCTGAGGAATGCAGGAAAATCTTACTTTGAAAGTGGGGGGGGGGGCGGGGGAGGGAGCAGCAGCAGCACAATTGCTACAAATGGGTTAATAAACATGTACACCGAAGACTTGCTGGCAGCAGTGAGCAGCATGCAGGCATGAGCCCTCATCACCTGGAATTGGAGGGTTCAGTAAAAGGAAATTGAGAAGAGCTTGCTTTCATTCAGTCTGGGACCTATCCCCATAAAGTGCTCAACTGCACCAAGCCCAGTTTCTCTCTCCCCCCCCCCGCCCCGTAAGAGGGGGAAACTGCCATTTAAAGGGCTGCAGGGATGGGAAAGTGAAGTTACAGGAGCTATGTGCTCCTGATTCAGGAATGGCTGATTTGAGGATTGGACAAGGCTCTGGAAGATAAATCTTAAGTTTACGGATTGTACTTTAATAAAGAGAATTACATGAAAATGATGTATAGGTGGTATATCACACCAGTTAAATTAGCAAAGATGTACAAAACAGAACAAAAGATTTGCTGGAGATGTAAAGAAAAGGAAGGGACGTTTTACCATATGTGGTGGGAATGTAAGATTGTAAAAAATTATTGGGAAAATGATTTATAATGAATTGGAAAAAAATGTTTAAAGTAACATTTGTAAAGAAACCAGAAGCTTTTCTGTTGGGTATTTTAGGACAAGATGTGAAGAAGGAATTGAGGACACTATTTATATATGCGACAACAGCAGCAAGAATTCTAATAGCACAAAACTGGAAGATGGGAGAAATACCATCCAAAGAACAATGGCATGAAAAGTTGATGGAATATGCAGAATTAGCAAAAGTGACAGATAAACTGTGTGAAAAAGATAATACAGTGACTTTAGAAAAGAATGGGAACCTTTTGTAACATATTTGCAGAAACAATGTAAAAGTATGGACTCCTTGGCAGGGTTTAAATAAACATACATAATGTAATCAGAGAGAAGACAACAATGTGATAATATATTACTATATATAAGCCACAGAATGCAACAAGTGGTTTAACAAAGCAGAAACAGAAACGGAGGGAAGCCAAGGGGGAGAGGGGAATTTATAAAATGATTGTTTCGTTAAGCTGAATAATGTATGTTTATGAAAACCAATAAAAACTGATAAAAAAAGGAATGTGTTGGAAGTGCAAGGGGAAAAAAGGGACGTTTTATCATATGTGGTGGAACTGTAGTAAAATTAAAATGTTTTGGGAAATTATATATAATGAGTTAAAGAAAATGTTTCATTTAACATTTGTGAAAAAGCCCGAGGCTTTCTTATTAGGGATTGTGGGGAAAGACCTGCCAAAGAAATTAAAAAATATTTTTATGTATGCGACAATGGCGGCAAGAGTCTTAATAGCACAGGGATGGAAGAATGAGGAAATCCTGACGAAAGAACTGGGGCAAGAAAAACTGATGGACTATGCGGAATTGTCAAAATTGACACATAAACTACATGGCAAGGATAACTGATTTCAAAGATGAATAGGAACCTTTTATGAAATATTTGAAGAAGCAACAAAATGAACTGGACTCTTTGGCAGGTTTTGAATAAACATTCACAAACTCTTTATTGTAATATATAGATAGATAATTTGAGGATCTTTACAATTTTATAATATGCAGACAGAAAGATGTCTTCAGAAACCAGAGAAAGGAGCTGAGGGAAGTCTGGGGGGGGGTTCTGTTGGGGGGAGGAGGAAAAAAATGGAGGTGGTAAAAACAATGTAGATGATGTATTTTTGTTAAAATTATTGTGTTGAAATTTCTAATAAATTTTTTTTATTTTTTATTTTAAAAGGAATGGCAAAGCTTAGGCCCAGGACAAATGCTACTCTCTAGACCTCTCTACCTAGTCCTTGGGAGTTTCCCAGGCAACATACCTCTTTCTGCCTTGAACCCTTGAGTGATTTTGTCAGCTGGACTGCATCCCTGAAATCAGACAATGCCTTTTGGCTGCCTGGAGGAGAAAGGGCTGGGGGGGGGCCAATTAGACCCAAAGGTTCCTTAATTTGAAAGGGTGAGGGGACCTCTCAGAGTTTAAAGGATTAGTGGATAAATTGGAGGTGTATCCATTGCAGATGTGATCTATATTCATTCCTTTGTTTTCAATGAATGTGCACTCAACATAGATTTGAATATGCATCTCTCATCCACATTGAGATGTACTTTTCAGGTACTTTTATCTGACTTAGCTGAGCAGTTTTGGATCCAACAAGTGACACAACTGCAGAAAACTGCTTCTGGGCAGGGCTCTCCTTATTTAGAGGTGAAAGCATGAGTCGTGGGTAGAGGGGGAAATTAAAAAGGAGGAGAAAATTAAGGAGCAGAATACGCACACATGATTTTTTGAGAGAGCATTTATACTCTTTACCTACCTTTGAGTTCAGTCTTGCTGCCTGGTTTTGAACTCTCACAAGCAACACACTTTGTGGCATCTGCTTTGTTTTGGACTAAGCATGTTTCGCAGTCCCAGCTTCCCTCCGGCTTCTTGAATTTGTCTAAGCCTAGAAATCCTCCAGAAAGAGCAGGTAAAGAGGAAGCACTGCTACTCACCACAGGCACTGAACTTCCTAGATAATGAAACATAGCATAAAGTAAACCATTAGCAGTTCTCCCCATGTAGACCAAAAACAAAAAGCTGAAAATACCCATTTGAAACTTGCAAGAGAAACTTAGAAATTGAATTATCCGAACTGCAATAATTGCCCTTACTCAGAGTAGGAAAACTTGCTATGTTAAAGCAATCTAAACCATCTAAATTAAAATGATATATACTCCTAGAATTTAGCAATTTTTTCTACTCTGTCCTAGCAAGTGCTATTTGTGTATTCGTCATCTGAAGCAACAATTAAAGTTGCCCATACTTTTTAATTGTTAGGTATTCCAGTTTATAACATTTTCTATGTCTATATTTTTATGGGGAAATGGGTGATGTTTTCTTCCACATCTTCATAAGAGATCTCAGATGAGGTTGAAAGAGAAAAATATTTGTAAACCAACTAGAGTATTTTGAAATCACCAGAACCGTAATTTTGACAAGGGAAATTATCTTCTTAAATTCAGTACTATAGTAATTAATATACCAGTGACAACTTCATGAACTTTAACTGTTCAGGGTAACATGCAAAATAGTTTCAGAAAGCTATAAAATTCCATTTATTTCATGAATAACTGGGAGAAAATTACTGTTCTTATATTTTCTTTCCATCTTAAGGACACAATATAAAAATCTGCATTGTTTTACCATCAAAATAAAATCCAGGTAGGAAAGGTAAGAAAAGGTATTTTATTATTTTATTATTATTAATTATTATTATTATTATTATTATTATTATTATTATTATTATTATTATTGCCTTGACCTTCAGTTTGGGCTTCTAAGAGATCAGACTTAATCAGAGTGAAACTAAAATTCATAAGAGCCTATCTAGTTTGCTACATGAGTACAGAATTTCAGGTTAGGGTGACGTCTTAGTCCTAGTGTCAAGTTTATTTCTTGAAGTCACATGGATGAACGAACTATCAGTTATAAAAATACAGAAAGGAACAGTGAAAAACAGTATGTGCTCTTTTCAGAACCCCTCCACTTTACTTCCAACAAAAGGCATTACTACATTATATAGTAGCAAAACTTTGATATTGTCCAAAGGTGTCAGTAGGCTGAGACACTATTTATAACTGCTGACCACGTTAGCTTGGTTACCATACCACATAGTGACAAAAATAAGGGTTGAGAACAGGGACTTTAACTATAAATAGGTAAAATGGGGGTAATATCCAACTAAGTTCTACTCAGTGTAGACCCAGTAGGTGGAACTGAGCAATGCACTATTACAAATGTTCTGTTTCTGCAAGTGTTGCAGCTTGCCAAATGGAATAATTACCCCCACCATGCTGTCCTGGTTGGGGGGGGGGGGGTTGCTCCTGAAACACCAACCCCTGAGCCAATTTCATGGACATGAGGGGAGGGGCCCTGTTGCGAAAGCTGAGGTCGTTGTACAGAGCTTCTGCTGACAGGGTGCATTAGGTGAATCCCACCCACTTAAATTAATTAACCTGTTAGTCATGCCCCCTAAATTCAATGGGTCTACTGCAAGTGGGACTAGCACTGGATATAACTCAAATACAGGTGGTGACCATTTTAGGCGCATCTGAATGGCATGCAATCACAGACACACAGGTCCTTTTGGATCCAAAATGAAGATGGGGCACGCTCCGCTGATGAGCGCAGGGGCCAGGAACGGAACCCACGCATGAAATGTTAGTCATCTGTACTTCCCAGTATGTTCTTACATATTAAAACTCCAGTAAATATTCAGTGGTGCCCTCTATTGTTTTCAACATAGGGTTCGTCACACAGCGCAATGCCTGTTTCCTCAAAACTAAGTTCCATGCCGTAATAAAGATGTTTAGGATTATAGCTGGATATGTCCCACCCTAATCAATGACCAAATACGGCAAACTCACCTGGTTTGTCCGACTGACAGGCAACACATTTGCTATCCTCTGCCTTATTTGACACTAAGCACACAGAACATTCCCAAGCATCTTTTGGCTTCTTGAATTTGTCTCCAAATCCAAAGCTGACTGTGAGATCAGTAGAGCCAGAAGAGGAAGTCACTGTTGTTACATTGTCTGTGACTGCAGGAAACACAAAGGCTGGTTTTACTCCTGTCCCAGGTTTTGGTGTCTCACATGCCACGCATTTTGTAGCCTCCGGTTTGTTCTGGACCAAGCAAGTATCACAGTCCCAAGTTCCAGCTGCTGCCTTAAACTTGTCTCCAAAGCCCTGTGTCCCCTTTGTAGAATGAGCTGCTTTCAAGGCTGAGTTAAACTGAGTACCAGTCTGCTTAGTACCATCTGACATCGGCACTTTAGCGGCTTGGCAGGCTACACATTTGTTATCTGCCAGCTTGTTTTGCACAAGACACGTATCGCACTGCCAATGGGCTGACCCTTGTTTCAAAGCATCTCCAAGTCCTGAAACAGTTCCGGAGAAAGTACTTATTGCAGGCCTTGTATAAACTACTGTGCTTGCTGTAACAGGTGGCGCAGCTGCAGATGAGTATGTGGTTGAAGATGCAAAGCCTAAGAAAGAGAAAAGGAAATGGTCTGAGTTCCTAACAAAGACTCTACTTTTACAGGAAAGCCAGGCAAACGATTTTAAAACAGAAGATTCATTGATGAACCATACTGCGCAAATGGTTATGCAGGCACAGAAATAGCTGGGTAAGAAGAATAGCTATCATAGTATGGTAAAAATCACTGCACATAACATGAAACCCTTACACAAATATGTATATATATTGTTGGCACTTGCAGTCTCTTTTCCAACCAAATTATTGAACAAATCAGAAATTTATACAGAAAACTGAGTTTGAAACCTTTGTAATTCATACCAAACTGATGAAAGGTCCACATTCTAGAATTTATGTTATCCAGATTTATCTTGAGTGTAGCAATGAGAAATGTAGTTAACAATGGAAATTGATTTGAAATTCCCTATTCCTAAAGAAAGCTGGCAATATATTTGAAAGTTGGAGACAATACTCTCTCTCAGTGTGGCTATTCATTTTTTTCAAAAATTGGCATTATTGGTATTATATGAGAGACTGGATTAAGAAAATATATAGAGGGTCAGATTTAACTGCCTGATGCTGCTAGCAGAAGCCCATACAACTACTTCCATCAAAGCAATGAGGCTTTCTGCCTCCTCTCCCCTTCCCGCCCATTTGGCTCTGAGAACCTGCCCCCCCCCAACAGAGGAGGAGAGGGGAAATCATTCCTTTGGGCAAGCAGAAATGCTGGCACTGATAGAACGCTTATTACAGTGCAACATCCCTACAACTGTTTTCTTTAAAGTGCCATATTAATCATAGATTCATAGAACTGTAGAGTTGGAAGTGACCCTGAGAGTTATCTAGTCCAACTCTCTGCAATGTCAAGACTCAAAACCAAGGCCCTGAGATTACGGGTCTCATTGTCAGTTATCATTTAACACTAAATGAAACCTCATCAACCGACTCACCAGGACTCTTTAAAATATCCAGCACACTTCCTTCTTTCAGGACTTTTGCAGGCTTAAAGGGACCATCATACTCATGATCTCTCTTACTGCTGATGCTATTGACCGCTGCAGGTGTGAAGAAAATAATAGTTTTACAAGGTTCATGGCTCGGACCCTGTTGTGTGTACTTATGAGGATCCACCAACACATACACACAAACACACACCTGTCTACACACAACCCATCTTTAAAATTTCCATAAGGTAGCTTACTGGATGAAGCACAAACTTCTTGCTGTCCATAGAAGCTAAATGATATATTTCATTGGAAGTCAGACACATATGCTTGGATAAGGGTCTATTTAAACTGGATTGTACTCAGAATGGAGGCCGGGAATACATTTGCTTCTGATGTCACACAGAATGGAAAGTTTTAAAAGCCTAACCAAAATTCAATCTTAATTCCCCACCTGGAGAAAATGTTTGCATTAAATGCCAACTTAATTACCTGCATTACTCTGAGGCAATACTGCGGTATCCTTTGGTCTTGAAGGATCAGATGATTTTGCAACAGGAACACTAAATTTGAATGCACCAGCCTGGCAGGAGATAAAATTTAAAAGTCAAAAGAAAACAACAGTCTAGTTTACATAGGCTCATAAATGTGAACTGCAGATTTCTGGTTCCTATCACTGAATTTCCAAGGTGAGTATTAAACAGATTTTTATCTCTATCATTCCTGTCTTTCTTCTGTCACAAGTTTTACTTATACATTTTTTACTTACAGACACTGATGGCAGCACTTCTGCTTCTGTCGATTTTACAATTGGAGATGAAAATCTGTACACAGGACTGCTAGCATTACTGGCTGGTTGCACCTAATTATTTAAAAGAATTGCATTTTAATAGCTTGAATGAAGTGAATTATAAGTCACTGGTTAATAATGCAAAAACAAATGCGCTCAAATTAGGAGGTGACTTTTGGCATGGATCCAAAGCAACCCATTCCGTTTCTCAAACAGCAGCTGTCCTTTTCTCTGCCTATACAACATATGACAAGATGTTTAGAAGACTAAGAAGAGTTTCAAAAGCAGTTTGTAATAAGACACAGCAATTGTGCTAATGTTTATAGCAGTAGGGCCACATCCACAGCACACCCTGAAAGCACTCTTTCTTACACTACTTTAAGGGTCATGGCTTCCCCCAATAAATCCTGGGAACTGCAGTTTTCAAAGATTGCCGAGAACTGGTAGGAAACCCTTAACAAACAACAGTTTCTCGGATTATTTTGGGGACATGGCTGTTGTTGACAATACCCATTCTGCTTCTGAGCTCCTAACTTCTTAGCTCTTGTAACTGCCAAAGGGGAAAAACCTACAAAGAGAACTGAAGCCTTATCTCCATAAAGCTTGCTGCGTAAACTTTTGAGAAACTGTTGCACTGAACAAGGCCACCCCCATAAAGAGCTTGCTATGCAGCAGCTCAGAGTAGCTGACACAAGCATAAAAAGCCAGTTTTTTAAAAAGAAAAAGAAAAAACATTTGCCTTGATATCACCAATATGGCAACCATGTTACTATCAACAATCACTTATCATGAACCATTACCGCAGGGGTGCTACAAAGCCCAAAGCACGAACTGCCTTGGGACAATTTTTTTACAGATTGCACGCCAGTGAAGGGCAGGGACCAGAAACAAAAGTGGGTGAAGCAACCAATGCAACTCTTACATCCTAGCCATGCAGAAGTCAGAGGCACCCTCTCTCCATCCAGGCAAGCAGCATTCTCACAGTTCAAGGATACATTCCAGACAGACAGACACACTCAGGGTGGGCAAAGAAAGGGCAGTGAAGGGTGGGGCTGTCCTTTAAAGGATTCTCAAATAGCACATGGCTGGACATTAAAGTCAGGTGAATAGACAAAGAGTTTGGGTGAATCTACGGGAGAGAACAGGTAGAATATGCAAGCAAAACCTTGATTCATGCACAATTTACCTTTTTAGCCACTGATTGTGCAGAACTGACAGGCGTAGATGAGACAGTAGTACTGCTAGCAAGCAGGCCAAAGCTGAAGTTTGGCAAAGATGACGTACTGATGGGCAAAGATATTTCTGGTAGCACTGGCATATCAATTTCCTAGAATGGAACAATGATGCAATTATTTTCCAAGTTCCACTGAAACCTACATTTTAGTTCTACTCAGCCTATTTCGGCAGGAAAAAATGAAAGCAACCCAACAAGTAATGAAACTGTTGTTGACCTTATCAATGAAATCCTAAAGAACTAAAAAAACAACAACAACCCCACACCAAAAGTACATACAGGGTAAATAAAAGCACCACAATAAATGAAATTTGGGGTGATACAGGATTTGACTGTTTTATAGCTCATGTGCCCTCCTATACCTGCAGACAGAGCCTTCCTCAGTAATAGCTAAAGCAATATACCATGAATTGTACCTATGTCTCAAAACATGGGAAACCCGGCCAGATGGGTGGAGTATAATTATTATTATTTATAAAAACCTAGTGAGCTACAACTTTCTGCTGCTGTAATTTGGTGCTGATTAGCGCTATACACAGCCACACCCAGCCACCTTGCAGAGCGTGCCTATATCATTAGAATATTTCCCTTCCTCTTCCATTCCTAAATTGGAGTATTAACCCTGCATATAAATCCTATACTCTGCTACAAAGCAGAGCATAGGCTTGGAAAGCTGTTTAAATCTAATGGACAGTATTCTACTAGCGAGTCCTGTCAGTACAAGAATTCCCACTTGTGCAATAGAACTTTCACCCCTCCTCATCCTCCACAAATCTGCTCCAGAAGGTTGGGAGAAGTCGTGGAATAGCTTTAGGGGTGCACAGGAGGAAGGTGTTCCATTGCACATAGAAAAATCCTTGGGCTGCTGAACATTTGCCCTATGTTGGATTCCATCCAATGACTAAAACACTAAGTTTGTCCATTCGATCAGGATGTGACTAAACAGCTTTGAAGCTCCAAACTACTCCATAAACGAGTACTTCAATTTCATTCATGCATACACATTGTTCTCTCTCTCTCTCTCTCTCTCTCTCTCTCTCTCTCTCACACACACACACACACACACACAGTGTAGTTGAACAAATAATCTTACCTCCTCTTGTGCAGGTTTTGATACATAGTGGACACCTCTTTCCCTTCTCATTTTGCCGCCACCAACTCCTACTGAAGGAGGAAGCCCATTGGTTGCAGAGGAACTGAACCTGGGGTTTGTGACGCTGCTGAAAGAGAATCAAATGTATGTTATATAGCTTTTCGGGGTCCTACAAACAAAGCAGCAACAAAGGATGTATATGCAAACTGATAATAGTGATATATCAATATATATTGGGGGGAGGGGATAAGCGATGCTGCCCAAAATGGCAAAGTGGCAAAAGTTAGCAAGCGGGGAAAACGAAAGCAAAAAACTGGGGGGGGGGGGGAATTACAGCTGACTTGCTGAGCTGAGCTGAGCTTAAAGGACCAGGGAGGAAGAAAGCAGATGTGATATCAGCAGCTAGCACATTCACATTAAGCCATGGTTTGGCACAGCATTAAATGTGAACTTCTGTTTCCTAAGTAAAAACAGAGAAGAGTCTTGCGGCACTTGAAACACTGACTGCACTTCTTGCATTTCCTTTTCCTCTGACCTCAGAGCCTTCAAATCCATGCCCTAGTGTGTATATAAACTTGAAGAATTGTATTGCGAATGAAGTGGATTCTAATCCATGCCATACTAGCACTGTAGTCTTCAAGGTGCCACAAGACTCTTTACTGTTTTCGCAACACAAAACTAACACAGCTACCCCTCTGGAAACGTTTTACATAAACATATCTCTGTTATTATGCCTATTATTTAATTGTCTCCTTTGCATAAGGGACAAATGAACAGGGTACTAATGAAAAACCCATAAGAGCAATTATAATATGTCTTTTAGATTTAGGATATACATCACATACCTTTCTGGTGATTCTATCTTCTGCTCTGCTGCGAGATTTTTCTCTTGTACTCCCTGTAAAGGATAAAAATATACTTTAGGTTTTAATTCTTTTTTTCTGATTCGCTATTCCTAAAAAAGAGAGAGAGACTAAATGTTGGAGCATGTAACAGGAAGCCACTGATCCTTGTTTACGCAAATGCCTTTCTCATGTACACTTAAGCTTTATATGGCTTTTTGCAGAAGTACTCCTTTACTGCCCCCTGCTGCCTGAAGTTATCCAAATAAATCTCTTCCACCACAAGCTGTATTTCTTATGAGCAAGGTTCATGTGACAATGCCTGTCTACAGCAATTACCTACTCCACAAAACATCCTGCAGGATCACAGAGATAGGGCTAGATCCAATAGCGGCTCTGCAGTAGTGGAAGCACTTCTGCAAGGTAGGACACTTGATTTTCACCAATTCCCTCCTACCCAGTGCAGCCCTGTTTCCCCCAAATTTCTGGTCAGGGTTGGGAGACCCTCCAGAACTGTATGGGTAATGGTGCAATGGGCTGCAATTGGTAAGGGGGGCTGGCAAGTTCCCCTGCCTTTCACAAGCAGAAGAGCTTCCACTAGTGCAAAGCTGCCATTAGATACAACCCTCAGTAAATAAGCAAGTTCGTTTATTTTCAATAGGAAAATTAAGTCCCTATGATTCACTATAGGAGAATGAACTTAATTTCTCAGATACATTCTGAGATACAAAATGCAGAAAAGGGGAAAAGAATTTCCCTTTCAAAAACTTCTGCCAACTTAAAAGCAAGCTAATGTGGTTTTTGCAACTTGAAATATTTGTACAACATCTTTAGTAAATCTTACCCATGTCATACTCCATGAACTACTCAACAATTATGGGGTCTTTTGTTCTAGGTTTCTTCCTCCTCCTCCTTTTCATTTTTTTTAAAAAATACATTTAACCCTAATCCCACCAGGAGTCCAATCTACCACACTGAAATAAATGGAAAGGTAAAGCTGCAAAACGCCTAAGCCCTTTCTGTCCTCAGCAAGTTCTCAAAATAACCTTGCATTTTCTCTGCATCATAACTTTCATTTTTTGTAGTTATATCACTTAAAGAGCACTGGCTTATACGTTTTCAGTTTCCATAAAATAATTCTGAACATTTCTGTGTATACCCCCCACAAACCAAACCCTATTACTAAGAACTGTTCAACCCCAGGTGTAAATTTTATCCTGGAGGTTAATTCTGCAAGTTGAGTTTATCTTGATGCAGGAGTCTGCTTGCATAGTGCAAAGCTGAAACACTGGATTCTAGTTTGTAAGTAAAGTAAAATAAAGTATAACAACAACAACAACAACAACAACAACAACAAACAACAACAACAGGCTACTGGGGTTCTTTGGACTACTGTGAATATTTAGTTTTGAGGATAGTATTTCACCTATTCATCTCTCCCACTTTCTCCTCTAGGGCTTCCTGATAGTCAAATGAGGAATTTCAAGGTAACATTGTGCCCTAGAAGCTTCTGTGTTAGACTGTGTGTTTGGAATGAGATACCAGTAAAATGTCCCATCCCCCACCCCACCCGTGTTGAACTAGATTAATTGTGAAATCAATTGTTAACTTTTTATCCAGCTACAACTTTTAAAAGGATCCACTGGAATCCCAGTTATCAGACTGATACTGTCAAAAGGAAGTGTGTGAGCGTTTAAACTGTAAAGCAGCCACTGGGGTGCCCCATCAGATCAGGGTGTGATGGTATTGGGGAAGAGGGAGCTTGTGGTTAAAGATGGTGTAGAGTCAGCAGCTTTGAAGTATACATACCTTATGGTTCATCTCTATTCTCTGTCGAATCTTGCCTGATTCGGTAGCAGATGGAAGAGATGGTTTAAAATATTGTGAACGACTCATTGACAGTGGAACGGTCTTCGGAGTCACAAGCTTCTGGACTGGAGGATAATGGGATTCAGCCTTTAAATGAAACAGTGTTGAATTAATCAAAACCAATCTGAATAAAGCTGGGTAATGCTATGTATGTATGTACACCCCCCATGTCAGTACATGAAAGGTGGTTATGCACATGTTTCAATGGTCTTGAACAAATACAAATGCATCCCTTATTACCAATTTTATTTAAAAACAAATTGTGGTTACCTAAGACTCATGAAATGTTCCCATTTAGTTGGGGAGCTGCTAGGAAATTTCTGCAAAGCTTGCCATCAAGAGGTTAACTGTCAGACCTGAACTGAGATGTCTGGCAAGAAAATTAAGAGTTCCAGAATTTTCTTTTGCAGAGATAAGCTACATGTTTGGCTTTTTTGTGACAGTACTCACTAGTAAAGTTTCGGCACCTTCTTTTCTTTTTTGCTGTAATGTCAGCCATGTTGTGCTGACACTCATGGCACTGTTATCAATACACGAGTACCAGCTCCTCTATTTTTATTTTATTTTTTACTAAGTAAAGCCCTGCCTTTGTGTATCCCTTTCACCCTAAAACTGTGGGAAGGGAAGTCTTCAAAGCCACACTAGTGAAACGGATCAATACCTGAATTCCTGTTTTAGAAAATGTCTACTTCTATGCCTGGGAGCAGATGGTGTCTTGGGTCTCCCACCGTGGAATGGATACAGCTTTTAATACAGTGAATGTATTTTTACTGTAGGAAAAGAGAATACTGCACTTCTTGTGCTAAGTTCCTAATCTGCATGAAGGGTTTCCTCCCCACCCTGGAGAAGTGTTTCTTACTATTAGAGGGAGTTGCGGGGGTAGTCTCAGGCTGTAGGGCGGGGTTTCTCAAACTTGGGTCCCCACTGGGGATGAAAGGAGCTGTTTTCCAACATCATCTGTGGACCCACTGTTGAAAAACCCTGCTGTAAGGGTCTCAGTCAGTCTAATTGGGTGTGAGGATGCCCATGTTTGATCTTGCGTCTTTGTTGTCAATGGCTGCTGTCCCTTTACAGTGGCACCACTGGTTATGTACTTAATTCATTCCGGAGGTCCGTACTTAACCTGAAACAGTTCTTAACCTGAAGCACCACTTTAGCTAATGGGGCCTCCCGCTGCTGCCGCAGCACAATTTCTGTTCTCATCCTGAAGCAAAGTTCTTAACCCAAGGTACTATTTCTGGGTTAGCGGAGTCTGTAACCTGAAGCGTATGTAACCCAAGGTACCACTGTATTATCCAGGAGCGTTCAAGCATCTCTGGAGTTATTCCCTGCTTGCTGCGTCTGGCTGGAGAAAGCTCTCTTCTACACAGGATGGCAGTTAAACATCTGATTTGCATAGCCCTGTCTGTTGGGAGTGAGTGGGCGGAACTATCTTTTCAAAGGTAAGTAAGTTCCTTTTCTACAGGAGATGGATGTCATCACAAGTCCAACATACTGCTTTCAGATGTACTGGTTTTAGACAACATTTTAAGAAGGTTTTTAAAATCCTGGCATTCTACTAATATCTCTTCTGCACATTTTGATTGGTGTAAGGAGTGGGTCATGTGCACCAATTAGGTTAGGTCTATAGGAGAATCTGATATCAGGTGCTGACAAACTAACATCATCATGGTCAACTTTTGCAATTCTATGGACTTTCCACATGAAATAGAGCCTGATGGGAGTGTGCAGGTGTGAAAGGGAGTTGTATGCAGACACCATGCTGGATGCAAAGGTCCCTTTTCATAGATTGAAGTGCCTTGGACCAGCTGTTCTACTAATGGAAGGGGAAAATTCCCTCCAGTGCTACTTTCCCCTCTGCTAACATCAGTGGCATTTCCAACACCGTTTTGCAAGGTCCCACCAACCCTCCTGAGAAGCTGACGGCTCAGGAGGAAGGAAAATCCAATACCCTTTTGTGATTTTTCTAGCAGATCCCATCACCATTATATTTATAAACCAAGCCTGTGATTCTTAAAGGGTGTGGCACACCATACTGGTGGGGCAGGAGAGGACGGCAAGCGTGGAGGGAAGATTCAAGGACAATCAAGGAAACACTTACAACATTTCAGTGTAGTATAGGATAGTATCAAAATATATTTTTTTAATTTGCAGAATAGATAGATAGATTTATTTTCAAGATGAGAGCAAGAGCACCAAGTGATACTGAGGACAATCCTTCTTGTGTTTCCCAATGTATTTCTCAAATATATATCAGGATGGCTTGAGGAAATTTTTATTCTGAAAGTGTGGCCCAGTGAAAAAAAGTTTGAGAACCATTGAACTAGACAAATGACTACTATCTAGTATTAATCCAACATTGTAGTGCTGTATTCAAGAAATGGCAAAACGAGTCCAATTTTTTGCTTATCTTTACAAGTAGTAATGATCTCTCCCCCTGCCCTCTACAATAAAACTGGTTTGCATCTAAATATTATTTGTTCAGAAATAGTGACAAAAATTTTGAATTTGGAAAGGCTATTTTGATGGAAGTAGGCCCTGAAAGTAATGTGCAACTTCCAAATGATGTTCACTATAAAAACTCAGTATCACTGTTTGAACAATTCAAGGCATTAAAAACAAGTTATAATTATCTGATTAATGTAGATAAGTTCCAGACTGAAGACACAGGTCTTTAGAATACCAACTGTACAGACATCTGTAACTGTTTTACTCAAGAAATTAAGTGGACTGTTGACAGCCCACTCATTTTGGTGGCAAATCACCAGCAAACCTTTCTTGGCCAAGAATTACTGCTGCCAACCATTTACTACAGTATGAATAGACAATTCCTCTTTTTTTACTTAATGACAGCTGGGTACAGAATTTTCTTTCTGACATCTCTAGTTTCTGTTGCCTGTTAGCTAGTGTTCCATGTTTTCTGCACAAGTGTGAGTCAACAACCTGCAAATTTAAGCTGAAATAGTGCTTGCTTATACTTGGCCAATCCTGCAAATAAATGATTTTTTTTTAAAAACTGACTTCTTTAGGTTCTACCCACTATTTACAAAGAGATACCGTTTCCTCAAGTCTGTTACACTTAGAGTAGGGCCTCCAAAATGGTATTTTCCCCACAATGATATCTTCAACAACTCTCATTGAGGACAGAAGATCTAGCAAAACCATGTGAAAGTTTTGCCTTATTCCGCTAACTTTAACCTTACATATGGCACCTCTAACATGTAAACATAAGCATCTTGTTTTCTCCTTGTTGCACATTTTAGTCTGGATGACACAAACACATCTGATAGGTATATTAAAGACAGAAGATATAGATGCAGTGCAAGTTATGAATTTATTCATCGACTACAACACTGGTTTTATAAAAGCTCAATTTAGCATTCCACTAACATTTGCTCTAGGTTCCAAATTTCAAAACCAAGTAAATGGATTTTTAAAAAACATAAGTAGGCAAATACCAGCAGCTATCTATAGTAGAATCCATAGGCAATTTCATGTCTGCTGCATATCAAACATAAAATATAAAACAGTTCTACACCACTTAGAAGCAACTAAGACATGGAAGTTAACTTACCCTTTTCCTTGGTGAATGGAAGTCAGTGATATTCTGCATACTTCTTTCCGCAGGCTGGAAAACAAAACACCCAAATTAACAAGCGTGATTAAAACAACAACAACTCCATGCATTAAAAAAGTTTGAAGACTAACTTACAGATGAAAATGAAGAAGATGGGATTCTTTTAGCATCCTGTTGGAAAAACAACAGCACTGAAGTAAGTTAAACCATATGTATTCAAAGAAAGAGTTTGCCTAATGCAATACAGGATTAGAAAGCTTCATGTTATGTACTGAATAATTAACATTTCAAAGAGAGAAAATTACCGCTATTGGGCTTGACATCTTCTCCAGAGACTGCAGGATGCGCCGTGCAGTAGAACTTGTCACTCCGTAAGATTGTGCATTCACTTGCTTGGCTTTCATCTGCCTTCTTACTGGTGTCTTAAAAAACAAGATTATGGATGTTATATTGTGTGATTTGAAGCTTTGGGTCTACACACTATTACAGTCAGTTATCATGTTGATCTCCAAAGGTCTAGAAGGGATTTGGAGAGAAAGGACTCAAATATACTCAACGTGGCCCAGGTAGCCTAATGAGAGTATTTTCTGTAGACCTCATACATATTAATATCCATCATATATACATTATCAGTGAACATGGACTTCAGGTGTTTCAGAGAGAACAGATGACAGGTCCCTGCCCACAAAGAGTTTACAACTTATAGTTGTTATGCCCTCACACAATGCAAACTCAAGTTTCACCATGACACATTCTTGCAATGCTTTATTGTCACATCCAAATTCAGCAACTAACCTGTTGGTGGGTGGTGACAACACAGAGTTTCTGGCTTGACAAGCACTCATTTCTGTTTTTTAAGTAGCCATAATTTAACGTTACGTATGAACCAGAACAGGCTGAGATTCGTTTGTATTCCAGAGCTGCATCACTAAAGTTATTGTTACCAAAACAATGAAATACTTGTATGCATATACTATGGAAAGTACAAAGTGAAAAGCTCTATCAGAATTATTAATATAAGTAGCTTCTTCTTTCACATCCTCCATAGATCACCAGCATTTCTGTTACCTGATAAGGAGTAATCCGTGCTTTAGACTGCCTTGCTGCTGCAGCTGCACCACCATACATGGTTTTTCCAGGATAAAATGGAGAATTCCCAAGCTGGCTTGTCTTAAAAGCTGATGCATTACCAAGTGACTGCAAACACACATTGATATCTAATTAGCAAAATGGATACAGAAGTAACATAGTTAAAGCAAACGTTGTGCAGTACTTACAGGGGAAAGTGCTCCAAAAGCAGACAGATTAAAGCCAGGCTTTTTAGAGCTGGTGGCTGAATGCTGAGAAAGGGAGACAAGTCTTTCACTCTCCGAGGACCAAAGAGGTGGTACTGAAGCAACTTTTGAAACTGTTATATCTAAAAAGACAACATGCGTACACAACTGCATCAATGCCTTATTTATATTATAAAATAGTGATGATTAATACTACGATAACAACAATATTAAAGTTTTGTCCCCCTACATTTCCCATTTTGCAGTCCAGAAATTCTTTGAAAGAAACTACACTACTTTTCTTTATCTAGCTCATGGAAAGAAGGGAGGGATGGAGGGAAAGAAGGGAGGGATGGAGGGAAAGGAGGAAGAAACTGAGATCTATGGAGGTTTTCTCCCCTCTTCCTTTCCCAAAAGGAAAACATATATAATTTAACAAGTGGGAATTCATGATACATGGGTCTTAACAGTTCTGATCTAGTAGGTTTTCCACACACACCCTGGCAAAAACAACAACACTGGCCCTTAATGGTGTATACCATTCCAATGGGCTTTTAAAAGTGACTAATTTCTTTCTCCAAGACTAGTTTGTGATGGCTGACTCCTGTTGTTACTGTGTTCTTTTAAAAATATAGTATGTTTTATTAGTTGCTGCTCTCATCTGTTCCTATTCTTAATCGTGTTTCATGTTGTTTGCAAGCTGCTTTGGGGGTCCTTTGGGTGAAAAATAGCATAGATATATTAACACACCTATTTGACTCTCTGCATCGAAGGACCATGGGATAACTTCCTTTCCTCATACTCTTTTGCCTCTCCCCACTCCCCCAAAATAACATTGCATTAATAACATCAGTCTTAAAATGCACAGTTAATATCTGCCATTTGTGCACCATCTCTTCTAAAGTGATGTCAGTATAACAAAACCTAGTCACGTTATGGAATAATCATACAAAAAGATCCTAATGATTCTGGTGAACTTTGTTACCTTTATCAGATGCCCTCGAAGAAAAGCCACTTGTAGTTGAGATGTTGTCATCATCATGCTGAGAGGTAGAATCTTTCATTTCTTTCCCAAGTGAAAGTCCAGAATTACTAATTGGAAATGCAGATGATGTGGAGGGTTGACAAAGTGGAGTTGGGGAATCCAAGATGTTGAAATTAAGATGACTCCGGTGGAGAGAGGGTCTTGTTAAAATATCTGTGAAGCTTAAACCAGATCTACTTGTTGAGGGCTCTAAAGAGGAACAAAGCAGCAGAATCAGAATTATCTTAAGTTGCAGGTATGCGTATGGAACACTCAAAAGCTATTTACTATCAACACTACTTCTATTGCTAAGCTTCAAGCGTAAAAAATAGACGATAAGCTAAATTTAACTTGTGCCACATACATGTATGGTTTCATCTATCCATCTGAGAATAGCTACTACATTTCTTCCAAGTACTACATTACTACAACACAATATAAATGATAGCACTGACAGTGAAACATTAGTTGCGACGTTAAAAACAAAACAAAAGATGATCCTGGGTATGCCAATCTAGTGCTTAAATAGATTCCTAATAATAACAACAGAATATTTTAACCTGACAAGTTAAATCTGAAATGCAAGGAATACCACCCTGAGTAATTTGAAAGCCACAAAACAATTGTTTATCTATCCATGTGTAAATAATTATAAAAATATTTTGCTACAAGTTCAATTGTATCAGCTCTCTAGATTATAAACTGCATTTACTCACCTATCTCTGGGAAAGGGAACTGCATGACTAACATTTTCTCTTTCCAATAATCCTAGTGGTAGGCTATTAGGCTGTCTGTCACTGTTTTTAATGAGGTTTTTATTACTGATGTTCTGCAATGTGTTTTTAAACACCCTGGAATCTTTTGATAAAGGGTGGTATATAAATTGAAATAAATAAATAAAATAATAATAATATAAAAAAGAGGCTACCCATCCAATGCAAAGAGTTACCAGTTCAAAGCTTTGGTTCCATTTGGAAATATATATATATATATATTAGTAGTGATCAATGGTAACCTTATCACTTAATTGTTGGCGATTAAATTTTTATTTCACAGCAACATTTCAGACTAGGAGAATGGATGAGAACATGAAAGAATAGCACTTTAAAATCTCTCAGCTTCGGTTTGGATGCCAAGACCCTACTGTGCAGAAGTTACTGAACATCTACATCAACTTTTTGGTGGGAGGGGGGAGTGGTAAGGCAATTAGAGATGCACATCTCCTTATCACACAGCAGGATCATATATATTGCACTGAATTTAACACACAAGACAGGGATCGAGTTTGTTCATCTCTTGCCATACTAGGTATACTAAAAAATGTTTTAAAACCCAAGGATTAGAATTGAATCCTAGTGCAATGCTTAGAATGTTGGTCTCAAAAAACAGTGCATGGTAATGCTAGTAGGTAAAATGGTGTTGGCCAGAACATTGTGTCCAACATTTCACAATAATGCTGAAGTAACACACCCCAGAGCAGGGTGGGCAAGATTTTGGCAGGGGAGGGCAAAGAAGATTTTTATTTCTCTCATTATTTCTGATCTTTAAAAAAACTTTTTAAAATGCTTTATTATTCATTTTCCATATATATACACATGTAGTCATCTTCATTTCCAAACAGTCTAATAAAGATAACAATGTTCACAAAAGATAAATACAATTTCAACTATGTATTTTCTACACGAACCTATGACTTCCCATCCTCTCCATATTTTCTTTTATATTAAGCATCTTGCTTTAGCTTATCATTATTGTTTTGGGGAAATTCTCTTTTCTATTACGATATTGTTTTCCTTCGTATGTACTATTTACAGAAATAATTCAAAGGCTGTAACCATGCTTAAGTTACAGCTGCTTTTCAAATAATTCTTGAAATTATCCCATTCTAGAATGAAATCCTGTTTGGGCTTGTCTCTGATTCTTTCCAAAAGAGATGGTAAATCTGCATATTCTGTCAATTTGAGTAACGGTTCAGCTCTAGTAGGGAGTTTGTTCTTTTTCCAGTATGTCGCAATAAGCACCCTCACGGCCGTGGTTGCGTACAAGAAAACTTTCCTTATACCCTTGGGAATGCCATTATTTCTGATCTTATATTGACATCAGGTCTCAACCACCTGTCAAAGATGGCCTGTGGAGGATGCGTAATTATAGAGTTGGATTTAACCAGGCAGGACTGAAAGACCTGCTCATCAGCTGATGGGGACAGGGAAATATATCCTGCTTTCTGCAAAGATCGAGCATGCATGCATGCATGCATTGTTCCTCACAGGGAACAGGAACTTGCAAAACTAAAACCCATCATCTTCTGACGTCATCTGCCCATCAGATTAGGAGATGGGTGTGGTTTTAAAAATGGCCTTTTGGAAGAAAATTTGAACCCCTGGCAAGCTAAGGTTGGCCAGTAGGTTGAGGTTCCCTACCCTTGCACCAGAATATCAAGGGGTCTGTAATTACTCTCTTTTAACAGAATATTTGACATATATAAAATAGCATCCCTCAGTTTGCAGTTAAGAAAACCATTAAAATGTTTTGATATTTGTAAGTAGACCTCTAGAACAAATTGTTAGAAGCTAGCTGTGAGGTTGGAGAAGATCTTTAGCCTACCATCTAAAGTAATTCTTGTTGGCTCGGGAGTAATTCGTCCATCAATCTCAAGGGTATTGTCAGCATCATCATCTTCAAAGGCAGGATGATAGTTTACATTCTCCTCTAAGCTCCTTTGTTCACTTGGGGATTCCTCTTCGCTTTGCCTGAAATATCTCTGAAGCCAAGCTGGAACAATACTCTTCACAGATTCCTTAACGATATTTACAATTCCCTGTTTATAAGAAAGAAATAATGTTTTTAAATTATATCTAGACTAACAAAGGCCCAGTTGACAAAGTTACTACTAGAACCTACCAACAGGCTGTTGGTAGTTGTTTACAATGCTATGAAGCTGCCTGAAATAGCAAATCTGTTATAACTTCTGTTCCAATTATATTCATGTTCCAAACAGGTGCTTGCATTCTACAATTTACGCTTTAACCCATGATTCCTCAGTGTAGTCATCTAGCACAGAAACACCCCCAATGTGCAGCAGTCACCTCAGTTCTACTACTCTATGATGCACATGACCAATCCCCAGCTTCCACCCAAGCTTGGTGGTGGAACAGGCAACAGGAATCATCTTTCTCAGAGTGTTCAAAACACAGTGCAATGAAAGGGACAACTCCTTTTCGATTTGTTCATTTTGGTGCCCTGCCTCCAAGGTGCTTCGAGTGCATCAGTAACACAGTGCCAAAATAAAAGTTCAGTCTCAAAGGCATGGCATGAGGCCAGAAATTATATTTCTATACTTTAGGGGAGGAGCAAGGTCCTGGAAACTACACGTTTTTGGTTGGTCCCAAGGCCAGGCACAATTTGTAGAGCAGGGGTAGGCAACCTAAGGCCCAGGGGCCGGATGCGGCCCAATTGCCTTCTAAATCCGGCCCGCAGACAGATCTACATGAGTAGAAGGTGTCCTTTTATTTAAAATGCATCTCTGGGATATTTGTGGGGCCTGCCTGGTGTTTTTACATGAGTAGATTGTGTGCTTTTATTTAAAATGCATCTCTGGGTAATTTGTGGGGCATAGGAATTTGTTAATTCCCCCCCCCCAAAAAAAAAATATAGTCCAGCCCACCACATGGTCTGAGGGACGGTGGACTGGCCCACGGCTGAAAAAGGTTGCTAACCCCTTTTGTAGAGCCTTGCTAATGAATCCTTTTGAAGTGAACAAGAGAACCCAGCTCCTAAGTGATGTCAAGACATACAGGGAAAACAAAAGCAAGATTTCACTCCCCAAAAGTATTCAGAACTGCAAGGTTGTTCAACCTATGAAGGAGTTGTCTCTTTCACTTTGAGAAAATCATCCACACATTTGACTTTTAGTTTGTTTTCTGAAATGAACACAATCACCTTTAATACATTCAGCAATAATCCAAGGATTAAAAACTACTGAGCCAAAGGAAACAAGGTAATTTCAAACAATTTCTGTTCTACCTTCAGTGAAGGAGTAATTATATAACACAACAGTCTTGAAACCCGAAGTATATTGTTCCACACAAACTGACACCCCCACAAATAGATAGGCTCCATAACAGACGTTGGCACCATCTAGGAGTAAGAACTTCAAATTATCAGAACACATGTGTTATGGCATATTTGAATCATTACATATAAAATATCACAGATGTAATAGTAAATGTGGATGCTAACACTTATAACTTCAAACAATGAGTGGGCCGGCTCATATGAGAGAATACAGTTCTTTAAGTATTAACTGTCCAGGACTTTAAAAGCTAGTCAACACTTTGAAATGGGCCTGAAGTCAGTGAACTGTTGCAAAAGGCAAGGGGGCTATCACATGCATTCCTTCAAAAACTGGCTCTGGTCAAACCTTTAGTTGCTGCATTCTGGAAAAGCAGAAGTTTCTGAAGAGTTTTTAAAGGCAGCTCCCTGTAGAGCACATGTCCACAATCCAACTGACGGAATTAAGACATGTGTGTCAGTGTAACTCAATTTTTATGATGTTTCTGTTCTACTAACTTTTAGTAGTTGTGGTATATTGGGGTTTGTTTGTTTTTATATTGTGTAAGCCCTTCTGGGAGCCTTCACGCTGAACAGGAATCTATTAAAATTTGAAATTTATAATTTGCCCAATCATTAAAAGACCAAAAGGTAACTCACAAATAAGTCTGTGAGTAAAGTTGATTCACTGTCTGACTTCTGCCCATAGTTTATTGGCAACTTTGCAATTCCAATGTAGGTCACAGTTGTTCAGGTTCTCCACATTTCTACCACTTGGCTTTGTCAGAGGCATTAAGCCTGATCAGTATCACTGGAGAACAGTGTATTCTTTATAATACTTTTTTTTTTACTGTTATGAGTCTGAACCTCAATCAAGTACTGCAGTTTGTGGCCTTCTGACTGAGCTAGCTTTATGGTAAATCCTGATTCTATCTTCCATATTTAAATGCATTAGGCCTAAATGGAATACAGCTTTTTCAGCTACTTGACCCTTTATGTTGAGAGTGCAAAGTTTAGTTGCCAATTGGTTAGCAAAGTGTGGAAAACAGCACATTAGAATACCTATGTTTAAAGACAAATTTGAGATTGACACAAATTACAGATAAATTATAAAATTATGTGCAACAATAATGATTTTTGACCATCTAAACTACATAAAGTCAGAGTGTTATAAATTTTAAAAGCTTAAAAATTAAGACAAATAAAGCTATGCTTTTTATCAGGGCTAACCTATTACAGAGACTTTTAAAATTACCATCTCTGTTTTTACCTCCTATATAAGGCAGCTTTTACTACACTTCCAGGCTAGTCATGGATTACAATATTCATTTCAGAACAACCTGCTGTTAATGTGTTCGTGAGTAATAAATTCATTTAAACTTCAGAAAGGGACAACTAAAATGTATCCAAGGTCGTGATCACAGAGAGGAAAGCAAGCAGTAGTGTTCTAAGCCTCAAGGCATCTCATTACTGAGTAGTAAAGAATAGTGACTCCTCTTCAAGGCAAGCATGGCTTTAAAAACCATCATCAACAGACAGTCAAATTGAGAATGTTTTAGTTCAGATCCACTATATCTTTAGACACATTCTTAGGGGACAGATTTTTAAAAAATGTAGTCCATTGGATCAATAACTGACATGTAACTATTAGCTCTTCTAATAATTATTCTCCTATTGAGATGGTACTTTGTGAGAACAACCTCCCTTTGTTGCATATAGCAGAGGTGGGGAATGCCTGGCTCACATGCCAATCTTGCCCTACCAGGCTTCCTCGTTTGGCCCTTGAGGGCATTGTGGTTGGGACTTGACTGAAAGGGTGGGACTTGTTCAATCTCTGCTTTGTGCAGCTGCCAAAGAACCAGACAACCAACTGGTTGCTGGGAGCCTATGAAGCACTGCACAAAGTGAGGATTTAAGGCTAAAGCAGGATCACTCTCCCTTCACATCAAGCAATGATAATATCAGTAAGATTACATTTTCATGGTAACTGCCATGTTTCGGTGTTGAATCAAACTCCACCAGACTCAAGAGTAGACACACTGAAATTAATAGAATTAAGTTGGTCAGGACCATTAATTCCAATGGATCTACTCCAAAAAGAACTACCAATGGCTACAACCCTGGGATTCAAAGTCTGAATCCTTCTCGGGGGTAAGTTTTATCTAGATCACTGACAGCATCAGCAGTACTAACGCATATTGTCATCTCACCACATAATATTTTGACCTGCAGGAGGATTCTCCCATCATGAAAGCATAACATAAAAAGCATTTTAAACAGAGCATCATAAAGTACAAAATACTTTTATTTTGAATCAAAACTATTATTTTCAAACTCTCAATTATTTGTGCATTACTAAAATGATTATATTTAAGAATGCTCTTAAGTGTTGTTAAATAGGGTAGTATTTATTTTCTAGTAAATAAACTATAGTCCTATTTCTATTATTTCATTTATGAGTCACTTCCTTTGAGGCATCCTGAAGCAATTTACAACAGAATATATAAAACAGTACATAAATAAAAACTGAAAACAACTGCACATAGTTTTTTTTAAAAAAAGTATTAGAAATATGAAAGTTTAAAATGACAGCAAATACAAAAGATCAGTTCCAATCCAAAACAGATACCAACCTGGATACAGATTTTAGGAGGTTTGTTGAAAGAGGAACATCTTTACCAGATGCCAAAAAGGCAATAGAAAAGGTACCTGTCTGATATGCAATGGAAGGGAGTTGCAAAACGTAGGAACTATTGCAGTTCTTCATGAATGTTCATATGACTTTTGGCACCTTGGGATCTGGTCCACAGCCGTCCCTCCTTCCAACAATCAAGCTAACAAAAAAGGTACTATATACATGACTGGGACTTTTCTCTATCTTATGTTTCATTGCAGGACAAAGGACTTTTCAGCGGGAAAGTACAGTGGTGCCTCGCAAGACAAAATTAATTCGTTCCGCGAGTTTTTTCGTCTTGTGATTTTTTTCGTCTTGCGAAGCACGGTTTCGGAAAAGTTTTGGAAAAGCTTCAAAAATCACCAAAGTCTTCAAAAACCTCAAAAAAGGCTACCACACCGTGTGCTATGAGTTGCTCCTCGAAGTCAAGTCGCAACTGTATTAACGGTGTTAAGAAAAAGGAAACAAACTTGCAAGATGTTTCCGTCTTGCGAAGCAAGCCCATAGGGAAAATCGTCTTGCGAAGCAACTCAAAAAACCAAAAACCCTTTCGTCTTGCGAGTTTTTTGTCTTGCGAGGCATTGGTCTTGCGAGGTACCACTGTAATGGGGGTGGGGGAAGAGGTGTGTGAGAGAGACAGACAGTGCCAGAGAGAGGGGTGGTAGAAAGAAAACGGGTGGCCTACTGTTAATTCTGGCCCTGGCCCTTTTTGGTATCAGCCCTGCTCACCACCAGTTCTGGTTATGTCAATGCCTGGTGTGCACCACACATATATTTCCCATGAGTGGGTGCAGCCTTTGACATAGGGAGAGGTTCCCCACCCTTTCTATAAGCAGTAGCCATCCAAAATGTCCCCTACTGCTGACTGGGGTATCTAACATATGACTATCACCATTCAAACTTCTTTTGAAATCAAATGAAGCAGAGTCCACAGGGGCCTGAACAAATTATGCTGTGGCAATGTAGCCCTTATGACATACTACCTTTAAAATGCGCATTCACTGTGGCATATTCCAAGTTTTTCAGAATCAATGCAACGTCTTTGAAATGATTCAGAGTTTAACAAAAAGCACTGACACAACTTTCAGAAATCGAGAGCATAGCAGAAAGAGCAAACAAAATGTTTCCAAAAGAATGCTACTCTGACAATTTGGCCTAAACACGTTTGCTCAAATTCCAATAATTCAAGGGGATTTACTCACAAAAATGATACGGATTAAACCTAAATCCATTCAAGCATACACCCTTAAACCAAAGCTTAAACACAACCACAATAATTTTTTGCAGTTTTTTGTGTGGCCTTCTTAGAACAACTTTAGGCACACCTTTGCCATATCAGAAGTTACAATTTTATATGAGTAACACTCAGTACTTCCTAGGCTTCTCCACTCTGCTTAGGCATACACTTCAGACATATGTTTGTATGCATGGTATCAAGAAACATCTTAAAAAACAAATACACAGGCAACTTTAAATCTTCCTCTCCCTCAGCTGCAACCTGGTAACAGCCATTCTTCTTTGAACCTCTTTCTTTCATCTTCTTTTGTTTTCCCATTCCATATATCCTTCTATATGCCCATTCCTCTGCTAATCATTTTTCCTACACTCCATAGGTCTCCACACTGCCATCTCTCCGCTATCCCCTTTTCCACATCCCTCAGGTATGACTGCCTACACTTCCTTCTTCTCCAATTTCCATAGCTCCTTCTGTACCATAACAGGTCTCTCTGTACCCTTCTCTCTTAAGAGACCAAAAGGGGAAAAAAGTTAGAAACTATTTTTGATATACTTTCTCAATTTAATCTCACTAATCTTAGCAGCAAGGCCTCCAGAAAAGAACAGATGGATTGTGCAGTATGGCCGAATGCTCCCAAAGGAAGGATTTTTTGTGACAACACCCCTACTTCTCACTGCAGACTGCCATGCCACCTCTTACATTGTTCTAGGTGCCCCCCATCAAGCAGGTACCCAGGCAGCTGATGGGGAAGAAATGCTGAAAATCACCTTCTGCCCACAGGAGTGTCCAATTAGCAGATTTCTGTCAAATAACCATATCTAATAGGGCTGGGCGATGTATCAATACATCATCCAAAATCAGTTTGAAGTCCACATTATGGTAACAGTTTCATAATATAGTTGTACCTTGGAAGTCGAATGGAATCCGTTCCAGAAGTCCTTCTGACTTCCAAAACGTTCAGAAACCAAATCACAACTTCTAATTGGCTGCAATCAGAAGCTGCGGAAGTCCTGTCAGATGTTCGGGTTCCAAAAGAACGTTTGCAAACCGGAACAATCAATCTGGGTTTGCGGCGTTTGGGAGCCAAAACGTCCGAGACAACCAAGATACAACTGTATACAACATGGTGATATAATTTGAATTGTGATGTACACATGTGCTATGTAAAAAATTTGTGATGTGGATAAAGAA